AGGTATTTATAATCTGTGTTGAATTAGTTCCATAAAGTTCCACGTTGTTGCTCGAAGCAGATATCTCTCTCGCCTTGTCTCTCTTCTCGAAGAGTTCCTCTAAAAATAACGGAGGCAAGAAATAAACTCGGATAACACGCGGGAGTAGATATTTGCGAGCCGTTGCTATCGTTTCCCTGATAACAGGCAGAGCCGAACGCGAAGAGAACCATGCGAAACTGAAACAATGATCAAAGATGATGCGTCATGGGATCGTAAAGAAGAGATCACTCGCGAATCACGTAGTCGCTTCTCCCTCGTGAGAGAAAATACAAGAGTCTGGAAATATCAACCAATATCTCGAGAGTCGAAAATTTCGTCTATATTCAATAGCTATTTAATTTAATCTCAGCGTACGAGGTAGAATTTCTTAGGAGCCTCAATGATGGCTCACTAAATTTGAAGAAACTAATGTCTGACTCTGAAATTTCTAATTTCTATTTTATGTAATGTGAAATTTATATGTAAAATCTACATCATTATAATATGCATACCAAAGTGGATCGTAAGAGTATACAAGTACGAGTATACATTATTACACACATATATATATATATATATTTTTTTTTTCTTTTAAATGATCAGCAGACACGTGCAGCAGGCACGAAGTATTAATATCAATTACACTGACCTAGCCAACATAGCCGACTAGATAAGAGTAGCCATGCGTGTACCCGTGACGCGAGTAAATCGTGGCATTGCACGTTGCACCGGTTGCAACGAGGCGTTGCACGCTGCGTGCCGCGCACGGGGAACACGCAAGCAAGGAACAAGGCTTGCGCCAGACAGTCTGTTGCACAACTTAGGTATTGATCTTGGCCGGAACTAGTTTCCGTTTCCGTCTTCTCCTTCTGACCGTTTTCACCGTCTGTTTCGATTCAATTCCGGAAAATTCACCAGCTGCAGCTACGTTCTCGTTCTCCTCGAGAATCGACGAACAAAAAAAAAGAAAAAAGAAATCACGAACAAGAGAAACTTTGGCAATAATCTCAGAGAGAGTCGAAAATAAGTGGAGAAGGTACCGCTTTAACCGTGTTATAGCTTATTTACAAAGTGATCCTCGATATCTTGCCCCCGAAAAAGTACAAATTAATCGGACATAGAGGCCTCGTAGGTGCTGGTTCGATTCAAAGTACACAGCCTCCTCTTGGCACTCGAATCGATGGACTTCACTTCCGGGCTCGCTTTTTCCGATCGCCACTCGTTTTTCGTTCGCGAACAATCGAGCTGCAACGCGAGGAGACCGCGGGAGAGTACATTGCACCGGCGAGGTATTGATCTCGCTCGCGGGTGTCTTTTTCGGTTCCCTGTGCCCCCTCTTGCACAAAGCTTCCCTTTCGAATTTCCAATCCTTGATCCTTGCTCTACCTTACCGACTGAGGAAAAGGAAAACAAAAGAAACGACGGTCGCTGGCGAGCTGGATGGTTCTCACCATCCACCACTGTCTGATACAGCTCAATTTCGAATCAATTAAGTGTACTTTACGAGTCTCTTTTTGCTTTCGAGGGCAAAAAACATCGCGTGCCCAGGCACGATCGAATATCGGTTCCAGGAAGAAACCTGGCTCACATTAGTCGCACGTCTGCGTGCTGATGACGCTTTACGCGCGAATTGCCACGAAATTAGAAAGACCAGAGTTGCGTGGAAATAGTATAAAAACGAGACTGCAAGCCCGAAGGCAGTTTCTCGCCGGTCTCTAATTTTTGTCGCTGGCTTCGTTCTAGCTTGACAACAATAGCCATAATAGTCGATAAGCTATCGAAACTAACGACAATTCCAAGGGTACGATGAATCTCCAATTCCCGCGCATTTATCAGTCTTTCAGCGATCTGCGTTTTTCCTCCCAAAACTCATTTCCCTACATCCACAGCACGTTGATTCGATCGATCTACGTCGTCACATGATGATGATGATGATGATGATGATGATGATGAAATGAAAGAAAAGACTGACATCCAGAAGCCATATTTGAAAAAAAGCATAATTTACATAGGCATCTGTCCTTCGTTTCCTGATCTCTCGTACATCTGTTTCAGACGATCTGTTTTAATTACTGTGGACGACCTAACCTAGAAATATAGGTCATAAGATTAGGTAACATCGTTCACTCGAATGTAACTGATTCGATGTAAACGGTTCGGCGTCATTTCAATATGGCGTCGATTCGAATGCAATTTGAAGTAGAGCAGGTAACAACCGCGTGTGACGATGTACGCAGCACAATTTGTTCCCGTCGTAAGCTCGAGGAAGGAAAAGGCGAGGACGAGTCATCTGTTTTTCAAAAACGAGATCACTCTGCTAGCGGCCGATGCTGGAAACGCAATAAATTCCCTCTCTGCCGCATAATATCTGCAACTCGAGTTGCGGTACAATGTCTCCTTTGTTATCTCCAGTGCTATGATTTTCAACGCGCAGTGGCACGCAGAGGCTCAAAGAATGCGCGATGTTTCTAGAAACAAAGCAATGCCAATGCCCCTTGATATGGAAAACAAGACACAATGGAATATTACGGCTACCTCGCCGGCTATATTCAGTCGTTCTCTTTATCGTTCGAAAGAGAAATTGAATTATACGTCCTGTCAATGCCTCCTCGGCTGCCTTCAGCACCGCATAACACACCGCTATTCCCTATTTCGAAATGCGCGTCGCGACCGTCCCATTCTGCTGAAAATCGTGCGAACAATATTCAAATACATCGTTCCGAATTAAAAATTCTATACCTCTGTGTATCTTTCTATAGCTTTCGTTCTTCATCACAGTTTTTTTTTTGAAGACTATGGATCTCTTCGTTCGTAATTACGGCCAGGAGTCAATCATTTTTTCTTTTTTTTTTTTTTTTTTTTTTTAGCCAGAACTGTCATCGAGAGGGCAAAGAATCTAAGATTTCGTGGCGAAACAAAGGATGTCGGCGTCCATGCAAGTACATATATATACTTCTCTTAGAAACATCTTCGCTGCCTCGGACCTGTCAAAACGCGCGCATGCGCCGAAGGGGGGAATGAAACAACAGGGAATGTCATTGACCCCGAGTGCATGTATCTACCGAGAGGTTAAGGTTAATTTTATCACTATACGGTGAAAAATACCATCAACGTGGTATTCTGCGTCAAATGGTATGCATCCGTGGTATGCAGTCATCAAAGATCGAAGGAAGAGCCGTCGGTGACCCCTTCATCTCTCGCATAAATAATCGCGGCTACATTCGATAATTCATCTCTCGGGGAGAGTTCACAGACCGATACCAATGACCTACGATCACATTCCCATGAAATAATAACCTATGAAACTCCCATGAAATTCGAGCAGAGTCGAAACTGCAAATCGAAAGTTTGATCGAAGATACGACTACGAGGAAATAAAGCTATAGCACACCAAGTCGACGAAGAATTGGATCTTCATGCTGACCTATCTCGACCTTCTCTATTTGGGAAAAGTCGACTTCGACTGTTTACGAAGAAAAAAAAAAAGAAAAAATAAAAAAATAAAGAAACGTTAAATGCGAAATTTCAAATGTGCCGAAAATGGTGGTGATCGAACTGCGGGATGAAAAGAGGTTACGAAATGGAGAGAGAAAAAAGAAATTATCCGAGCGCAGCGCTCTAACACCACGTGCGGTGGATTCGAAGTCAGTGTTGATACTGATTTGCACCGATCGTTCATTACTGGTGCCAGAACTTCTGGTTACCAGTGGTGACACGAGAAAACGCAAGTCTACGTCGACGAAATATCTCGATGTGGATGATTCCGATCGAAATAGGAAGGAAGACTGGTATCAACGAGTTAACCTAACTGAGAGATGAACTGCAAATTGTTCACGTTGGCATTCACTTACCCCTGAAATCGTCGATGTCGATTCAACAATCTTCGACAATTATCTCCATCGATTGGCACCAGATATCCCAGCTACATAAGGACTCGCCACGTCGGCCATACACTGTGTAGACACACTGCACGCACACACCCGTCGCACAGAGAGCACAATTAATCGGCTTGAGGAAAATCGGCGTCTCCAGATCCAAGGAGAGAGAAAAAGAGAAAGAGAGTAGAGAAAAAACACTTGCCACTTTTTGTTGGACACCCGCGGTCACTTATCGGAGGATACCTTTGTCACCTTTTTCAGTCACGACTCACAATCGCGATCCGCTCGACCGATTCTCAGGGAAAGTCGTACATCGACAACAATCGTTTGCTCGGGTATAATCTCACCGTATCCTTCGTGTGGAATTTCTCGGGAAACGAAAACTCTCCCAGGGGATATATACATATATGATTCCTCAGATTTCTCGTAGAACTTGCGACGTTTGTTATCCGATAATTGAGTTTCCTATACACCGGAAGTGTCTCTGAAAGTACGTAACAGTTTCCGGGACTCGTCCGTGTTTTTCCCGTTTTTCCGAGAAATTAGTCGAAAAAAAAAAAAATAAAGCGAAGAGAATTCCGCGTAAACACGTAGAGAAAAAACCAGACGTACGGAAAAACACGTACCGAGTTGTTTCGGGCATATGGCCGCACGAGAAGCGAGCCTCGTCGGTGACAACGACAGACTGCGTGCCGTGGGACGCCAGCTGAACCAGCGAACGGACCGAGGCATGGACGATGGAACGCGGACGGGAGGAACGGAGGAACGAGCGGAACAGGCGGACTATCAAGCTTACACCTTTGCTCCCCGACAACGATCAACCGCGGTCCCGGCTGCACTTCGTGTTCCACACGCGTCGGCCCTCGCATCATCTTTTTCACAGGGAGCACGAGGAGCGAGAGGAGGAGAGGGTGCCGCTTACCCGATGTACCGGGAATCTCATTGGCCCCCGCGCGGGCGACAGTGATGCAACTGTGACGCTTCGGTGATAAATCTTTCCCAGATCTCGTGAAACACTCTGAAACACTAAGAAACTCTGTCAGAAAGGGCATGTTTAAACGAAAGCGCGTTTCTAACTGATTGACTCGCAACAGCGAGATAATGATTCCTGTTTCGGAATTATTTCGCGACAGACACGAAATAGGGGGTGACAGAAGGAACAGTCTCATCCTACTTCCGGAGAGACGAGGTCGAGGCATCTCGTGCGGAAAAACCGAACGACGGGGTCAGACGGCCGGGTTCAGTGACACGGAGAGAATTTGCTTTTCCGCGGGGGTGGAAAGTGGAAGAACAGAGACAGAGATTGAGGGGTAGCTCTACTGGGTTGGCTGGACGGAGGGGTTGAAAGGGAGGGAGGATACGACTCGATAGGGTAAACGTACTTACACGCTAGCACGAATTCGGCGCGAAGGAGAACAGGAACGAAGCCGAATGTTCGTACAGTTGCAGAGAGCTTCGAGGCTGCTCGGAGACGCACATGGTTGCCTCCTCTCTCTCTCTCTCTCTCTCTCTCTTTCTTTCATTCTCTTTTTCTTCCTCCGTCTGGTCTTTGCCCTCTCACCCTCTTTCAGTCGGTGGTCTGTCGCGTTCCGTCTTTGTTTCTCGCAGCTCTCCGTTTAGGCCGTGCGAAATTCAGTGCCAGTGGCGTAACCAGTGGGGGACCATCGACCCCACTCTGCATTGCTATAGTCTCACTCTTACCCCTCCCTCGTGCAGTCGGCCAGCGTTGCCACTTGCCAATAGCATTGCCAGCTCGTTGCAACTGAGTGGGAGATGTTATCCCCTCCCCATGTTATCCCGCCTAAGGTCGACTTAGAAAATCAACCGGCGTGCAACGAAAATCCCGCCTGCGACATCCTTCCGATTCTGTTGAATTTTTACTGACTATGATAACTACCTTTTTACATCTCTCTCTCTCTCTCTCTCTTTCTTTCTCTAGCAATATGTCACTCTTTCGAGGAGAATTGGGAAATTGCTTTCAAAGAGTTCAGTAACTGATTTCTTGAGATTTTTGCTACAGTAAAAATGCTGTATCTTGACGATGTGCTACTACTGTATTAGGTATTCCCCAAGTATCGGGAACTTAAATTCCCTAAAAAAGTACAGACATTACGCTCTGCTCCACATCTAAACTTGAAGTTGACAACGACGAAGAAATATTCATGTCCTGGAGATATCGATTCCCCATTAGATTAATTGTAATCAATTCGTGATGTTTCATGACAGACTGATGTAACAGTGAAATGTCACTGGGCGATTTTATTTTCCCTGGTGCGCTGAACGGACCAGTCTCTCCTCTTACGGGGAGCTACCTCTGGATACGTGCGAGCTTGCTGCCTGTCCACGTACACATACGAGCACGCGAATGTGTGTGTGTGCATAGTACGTTCACATGAAAGCTTGAAAAGTGCAACGGACGATATCTCGTGCTGCTAGCTGCATATAGGTGGTAGTGGGGGTGGTGCAGGCCGACATGGCGGCCAGTTTTCTGGAACGTGCAGCACAGGCCTGCCTTTACCAATTTTCTTCCTTCGGTCAGCCTGCCTTTCAATCTTTATCTTCTTCCTTCCTTCTGTCCGTATCCTTTCGTCTGGCTTTCTTACCCTCTTATTTCTTGAAAAGGGAAAGGAACCGGCTGTGATTGAAAAGAAACATTCATCGGATTACCAGACTTGCTCGCAACAGCAACAACAACAGTATGAACAATTGCACGTAAAAATGTTGGCCTTGATCGAATTACACCTCGTACACGTTTAAAATTTACAATGTAGTTTATTGTACGATGTACCGCGACTGTTCATTGAGCTTCTTCGGTCAAAGATCAGACCGGAAGAAAAAATTAATTGACGCGAAGATCATAAACGAATGGATCACAAAGCGGGTCTAAGAGGCTCAGCCCCCAGTATGTTAAATATTTGTCGTCACAGGCTTCATTACTCTCAAAAGGTTGATCAAGGGGCCGCGGAGAGGCAGCAGGAGTCAATAAGCAGAGGAGCCAAGTGTCGGTGAAGGTGTGTAGGCTTAAACTTTAATTCATATGAGTGAATATCGCTCAATCGAGCCGAGAAGATTTCGTCGATCACGCTTCGCTGCCGTCTTCCATCAGTGTTTTCCGTCTATTCTATATCTCATGGCTACTCTAACATTACTCTCGACAATTAGATTCAAACTGAAATATTCGTATGGTTCTCAATAGGATGAAAAGTCAAGCAATCTCACAACTTAACAAAAACTTACAAATTCAGTTTTCTATCAACCAAACATGGCTGCCATTTTAATCGCAGGACAACTTATCTACGCAACAGCTTGGCCATACAGCATGGTCATTCATCAATCGTAGAAATATGAGTTCTCGTTAACGAGACAACTTAAATAATTGCCAAGATTATAATACTCATTCTTTCTCTCCCCTCTTCAATCCGCTTCGACACTGTTACGGATATACAATCGTGGCTGAAAAAGCAAAGCGAGTCGGTGAGTATCGGACAAAGACAACCCCTACGAAAGAAAGAGAGAGAGAGAGAAAGACAGAGAGAGAGAGAGAGAGAGAAATAAAGAGTCAGAGACAGGAGGAGGGCGAGTGCAGTTCTCGCGATCCAGCGTGCGTTGCACTCCGCACGAAAAAACATCGTCCGGGCGGGTTGAGGAAGGAGGAGGTGGGTCTTCGTGCATCTCCGGCCCGCGTCGGAGCTTATATTGATCAGGAGAGAGTGCACGATATTCGAGAATACATTATACGCGGACTCTAGCCTAGCTGGACTGCCTATAGTCATGCGGAGTATAGGCAACCAGGCCGCTGCACTCTACTCCCTCTCTCCTGACAACCCTTCCCCTACTTGCTTCTGCGACTTGATCCCCTCCCCTTTTGATTATCTATCTGTCCTTGTTCAAAGCACTCCCTGGTTCTTTTTGTTCTTCTTGCTTCAACTAAGCCTGCAGACTCCAGACTAGCGATGGACACTCGTTTCTCCCTCTGCATCGAGTTTCTGAACAATCTTTGATGAAACGAACGACCCTGAATAGTAGCTGGATTTGAAAATGTCTGTGTGGTTTGAATTTCTCGATGATTGAGATGCTATATCCATTGAGAAACTTTGGTCGTGGGACCCTGAAATATTTGGTGGCATAAAAATTAATAAAGGTAGAGACAGAAAACTTTTGCGCTTAATCGGTCTAAGATATTTCGAATCTATCACTACCATATCTTCTTCCCCTTCGACTCTCCCTCTCAAACACATCCATCCACGTACACAGAGCTAGACTGTTCGTTCTCTTTTCATTTCATTTTCCATCTTCTTCTTCCTTTCTCCTTCTCTGCTACCCCTCTCCGTCCTCTATTTCCTCTTTGTCATATACGCCTATATCTCGTGTGTTTTCTGTCGTTCTTTTTCTCTCCGCCGGCTACTCCATTCCCTGGCCGCTATTTTTCTCTCTTTTGGCCCGATTCCTCTCTCTCTTTCTCTCTCTCTCTTTCGGCTTCTGTCCGTATCACCTCCATTGGGACTGATTGTCCGTGCATTTTCTTCTGGAATTTATATGCCCAACAAACGGACCATCTCACAGCTCCTCTAATCTCATGGTTGTCTCTAAATCTTATTGACGGTTGAACATTTTCATAAATATATATACCTCTTCTGCAGGAAATTATTGTATTGTGCGAGCAGACTGGCCTGCATAGATCCTTCAGAACAGAGTCAAGGAGCAGACTCTGCTGAGGTGCGGGTATTAATCCAGAAGGTTCTCCGTAGCATCCCCCGGGAGTCTCCCCACTTGTCGAAGAGACGTCGACGACGCCGATGGAGGGGATCCGGATAGAAAGGAGGGAAAAGGGGCGGGGTGCGGGCAGGGAACTGTTGGCGGGTATGCACGGTAGGGGCAGGAGAGGACCTTGGCCTTTTCGCGGGGCAAAAATAAAACCTGTTGACACCGAAGCCCCGCGGACGCAAAGGAACCTCTCTGTCTCCCTTCCTCGACCAGTTTCCAATATCTCTCTTAAATATCCGTCTGCTGATTCCCCTCGAGCTGCACGATTTTCGAATTTGTTCGTACAGGTTAGGTCGCTGTTACTTTGGAAGTTTCAAGCCGGTCTGGATACGAAAAAGGAGAGGACAACGATATATACAAATTAGATTAAATTGGATGGAGGAACAAGATGTACTCGTATTTCTATGCTTGCCAAGCGCTCATCGTTACTGTCGATGCGTGAAATGAACGCCCCCGCGGCTTCGTGCGCCCGGATTTTATCACATGTCGCAACTCCGCCTCGCACGAGCATTCCTCTCCATCATTTCAGCCATCATTTTTTGTTGCTTTAAACTTTTTGAACTTTTCTCCCGATGTTTCAACAGTATATATATTTCCTTCAAATTCCGTCATTCAGCTTTCAATCGTCTTTCGTCGCTTCGTATAACGTCGACGTATCTTCATGATATTCTCATGATTCTCTCGCCGTTATTCTATCGAAGTATACAACTTTTCAACTTTTCAATTGAGATACTCGCATTATTCGAAGGTGATCCCATGTGTTATACACGTTGCAGTACCGGCCGAATGCATCTGGTCCCAAGTGATTCCCCTTCCAAGTACCAGTTACGCTGTTGCAACATTTGCTTCCTGCGTATTCGCGCGTGCACGATGCTCGAGCATGCACCTTACCATGACTAGACGAGCCAGAGACGAAGAGAAGCGGCCTCCGGCAACCTCAACCTACCTACAAACGCCATCGTCCCTGTGTGCACGCTACGCTGCCATGACGCGGAAAAAAGCGATACAGAATGTATCGACCAGGAAACCAACCGCCACTCTTTCCATTTTGTAAGGAAATCTCATTTAATGAATGACGCAAAAAAAAAACCTTTGCTTCTCTTGCGTGATTCTTGTTCCTCTTCAACTAATTTTCAACAGTTTTGTTTAACGATCGATGATGTTATTTCGTAATAATAGAATCTATGGCCATTGATTTCTATCTACAAACTTCTACAAATTGAAGATAAAATAAATTAATTGTTAAAAATGTATCCTATATATATAATGAATGAAAAATACCTTGAAAACGAAACTAAGTTTGTACGTGAAAGTAAGAACGTGTAGTTGGTGCAGAAATGCTGTACTATTCCTACAGGAGTACATTCTTCAAACGCAGAAAAATGCGATTCTTCTGGAAAGTTGAACGATTCCCGGTGAGAGAAAAGGTCACATACACACACATACACACACACACACCTGCGCAACCACGGTGCAGGTGTGTGCACTGCGTGCAACATCGATAGTAAGCGCATAGCTTTGTGAGCCTCCACCGATGTAGAATAACCCGATGCTCTCCGGCTAGACAGGCCAGAGACAGAAAATGGTGTGTCGGCATATCTCTTCCTCGTAACAATGCATTTTCCATCAAGCAACACTCTATCTACAAATTCGAAGATAAAATATAAAAGAAAAATAAAAAAGAGGACGAAATTGTAGATAAAAACGGTACAGAATGTGCGCAGTAATAGAAACTTTTAGTTTGCTCAATAACGAGTGAAAAAGTTGACCAAATGACAAAAGCGACCCGTACAACATGACTGCCACCGATGGGGAAACGTAGGTACAAGGAGAGGGGCGGGCTAAAAGGCCATATCGGAAAAATTCTTATTTAGCCTTCGGCCAATGAAAGACCAGGTGGGTCTTCATGAAAAACTCCCGAAAGGAAAGGGTCACGCCTGTTAATTCCGACAACATCTTAGAAGAGTTGGAAGCCAAATGGAGGGGGACTTCAAATACATCTGCATCCGGGAAACAAAACGTGTCGTGGTAAACAGTTAAACAAAACTGTCTACTGAGTACGAAGTACGGTCTGGCTAACTGCCATTCCAGCTGACTCGGAGATTTTTCATTTTCGATTTTCACATTGCCGGGGCTTCCTGCAATGAAGACTATCGATATTTCGTTTTGCGACTACACACTCGGAAAACGTTGGTAAACAAAAATAGGCAAGCAAACAACACGAAGCTACGAGAAAAATAATGACAATAATACCTAGTCGTAATCGTTCCTGATTACGAGCAGCCTTCCGTCTGCAAAAGTAGCCGAGATAAAGAGAATATCCAAGACAAAAAGCAAGTGGAAAGGAGCACGGAAGAGAGGAAGAAAAGGGAGAAAGAGAACCTTGGCCCACAGGCCTACTGCAGCGTTGCAGCTTGCTTGCAATGTGCCTCCACTGCTCTGCCATTCATGTGGGAAACACCCTAGTATCCGTTCACTGTGGGGCTGGGCCAACACAACTGCCGGAAAAATTTCTCTTTCGATGCACACTGCAACAGCCCCGCCCCATACGCCGAGAGCATGGGGAAGAAAAGTCCCCGATAGCCGGGGCATCGCAATGTCTGCCGGTTTTCTCGAGATGGAGACTCTATGAAACATTAAGAATCATCTTCCACGCTTGGTTCGTTTAAAAAAAAAAAAAAAAAAATGATAAAGTTGTACAAATTGCTAAAGAACTCAACTAGAGCAACTTTTTAAAACTACTTATGGTTAGTTCTGTGTGAAATCACAAAGTAGCCAAAGAAACTCAGTTTCCACGTTAACACAATTGTGAAATTCGGATCCTGCAAATAATTTGAGAAATTGCATTTTAAATATCGTCGTTAATTGAAAAAGAAAAAAAAGAAATACAAAAAATTCTTTTTTCAAAATCACTACCTAACCTCCAAACAAACCTCGTTATTATTCTCGCTGCGGGAAATCTCGGTAAATTGACGATTTCTGTAACTTCTTCGACTAATTTATAATTTCTCGACGTTTACTGCCTATTGAGATTATGCTTGTTAAGACGATGCTTCTTCAGATCATCGAAGTATAATGCGATGTGTGCGTGTAATATGTATACGTCGACAAACAGTCGCGTATGCGTCGTTGACAGTGGAATTGGCCATGCGACATCGACCTTCCGATGGTTTGTGATCTCATTAACCTAACCTAGGCCACACGGACTCCTCTTGCTTCTTTAACCTCGCGCGATCGAACAACCCGATAACATTATGCATGCTTGAACTTGCTCGACGTCGCTTCCCGCATTTCAGTCAGTTCGAGAACCGCAACTAACGACAAGAGGATCGACTTTCAGTTGTTTCACTAGACACATCGATCGATGCTCATACAAAGTGTCTCAGTCATCGTGCTTGAAATTTGAAGTCGTCCTTCAATATTTATAAATATCGTTTGTGAAAACCGTTGCGAAAGGCACTTATTTGAATATTCTAAAATATCGATATGGAGCGTGAGATCGATATTTCTTAAAAAGCGCTCTCGTTTTTGCTTGAGAGATCTGTCGCGTTCAACTGTCTGCAAACACATCTATCGATCTCGAAATTCGAACTCGCTGTGTACGTCAGCAGTATCGATATCGCGATAACTGCGATTCTCGAAGAGTACTGGCAAGAACGCAGTCGGCAGTTCAAACGACGAAAATTAACGTTGGAAGTCGACGTCGCATCCGACATTGCAAATCGAATTGCATGTCAATTTACTTAGTTCAATCCGTTACGTTAATTGCAATCGATCATTCCCCCTTAAAATCAACTCGTCAGATTCGCAGGTAAAATATTGAACTCGATCCTGTCCCTTTCGATCGGTGGATCGCAAACGACGGTGCCAGGGAGTCAAGCGGCAGCGCGAGGAACAACGGAAGCGCGAATTCTGATCTTTACCTCGGTTATCCAGAGTGGGAACCATCCAGGAACGTCCGTTGCATCCCGTGAGCCCTCTGATACATGGACCTCTCTCTAACCGTAGAAAATCCAATGACAATAGGAAACAATGGAGAGAAAGAACGTGGACGACGTGTACATCCTATATCTATCAGACACCGTTCGTTTGTACGTCAGGTCACCGCTCCCTGAGAGATCACTGCCCTCACGCACACCCGGTGCCTTCCTCTCGTTCCTTCGGCTCGCTCAGTCGTCGTCGTGTGTCTCTCTGCCCCGACGACGAGAGGCAGGGACGTACCGCAGAGCCGGCGTGCCCATCGCGAACAATACGCACACCGAATCGTTCGGATTTGTTTTAAAGAATTTTATTAATACACTTCTCAATTGCAGATCCGTTTATTGAACATACTGCAAGCACTGCAATCCTAACGCGGCAGGAAAGAAGCATGAAGGTTTGAAGGGAAACAGAATCTCAGAAGTGGTAGCGATGGGATCGACTCGTTGATCGTCGCGAAAGTAACAGAAAGTCAAGAATATGTATCTCAAATATATTTCCATGTAAGAACACTCTCACTCAGATATACAGGATTCAAATAGCTAACAGTTCGTTTATTTATAGAACATCGTTGCCGTTACTCGTCGTGAATGCGACGTTTTTTCCCATCACTACCGGTCGCAGATCTCCCTCCTCCGAGTCCGAATTTCGTGACTGTTGAGTCCGTCTCCGACGTTCCGATGAACAACTTTCGTCGGACGTAGCGATCACTCGCGGATGAGCAAGTACTTTATGCAGAAACTCGCATGAATTAAAAAGCATACAGTCTGGAAATCGTTTTCGCGACGGACTTGTCCTCCGACGGAGAATGCACTGGTTGAATTCACATGCTCGAATCGTGTGTCTCGTTCGCGAATTCGCGGCACACAGACGGCTGGCGGCCAATTGCAAAAACCCCCTTCTTTTGCGGCGGAAAGAACAAGGGATCCAGAAACCCTACCCCCCCGGGGGCACGTGTGTGTGTGTGTGTGTGCGTGTGCGCGCGCGTGTGCGTGCGGGCTGCATGGGAGTGCACACCACACACACGAACGTATACGTGCACGAAAGGGAAGACCGACGTACACGAGCCGGCAACGAGACGACGATTTCCATTATTTCGCCGGCACGCGTGGCAAGACTTGTTCAACGAGCGCAACGTCGCCATCTGTATCGCGAATTTCGTATCACGATAATCGCGAATTGACCGACGAGAAAGGCTGCACTTCTGCTGGACAGCGTTTCGCGCTTGCGCAATCGTTGCGATTGGAAAATTGCGGATTCATATCGTCTTTCGCGCTAATCAGAGAGATTAAAACAACTTTAATGTTTATTTGCATTTATACATGCAACGAAGTCTTCTACGACTTAATGACGAAGAATTTTAGATTATTTAATAGTATTACACGTCCATCATAGAAGTTCGTTTCAGTTTTAAAATACTGATTTCTCCCTGTACAATTTTTGAATCGACCAATGAGAAAGGATATTTTGATTGGATGGTTCAGCATGTACAATTCACTTTAATTTATTATCTTTTATGCTGTAATGGGAAACACGGATCAGCCGTTGGTAAGAAATTTTATGTATAATTTTAATGTCAATGAATCTGTTTAATTTTCTTTCTTTTCTTTTTTAAGAATTTATTTAACAAAGCAATATTATTTAAGACCAATTTTTGACTTCCAAAAGTCAATAGTCATCACCGATACGATGTTGCAGTTTTTTTAAAGACGAATCTGATTTCATAGCAAAGGAAGAATGCGCAAATTTCAAATAACGCTTTTTTACAGAATTTTTAATTTAAAATTTTTTCTTCTAATCAGTTGGACGTGGTTAATTTATTAACATTAGCATCTTTTCTTCTTTTTTTGTTTTGTTCTCAATAGAGGAAACCGCAATACAACACAAGAAAAACCATTTCATCCATTCATTTTTTCCCTTAATGTTATATTTTTTATTGGTATGTAATACGTATATAATATATATATATATATAATATATATATATATATATAATATATATATACATATATTATATTCGTCAATATCGAATATATTAATATTTTATCAGTTTTTTCTTTCCATAAATTAAATAAATAGCTCTTGACTGTGTGATATTATTAAACAAAATATTTTACAAAAGTAAATAGCTGTAGATTGCCAGGTATTCAGTGAAGAATGAGGATAAATGTATATTTTTTTTTTTTTACTATATCGTCTATTCAAAAGTAACTAGACATCCGAAGCGCTGTTTTTTTTATTCCGTATACGTGATCTTTGGCGAAGTCATTTTTTCTCTTCGTTTTTCTTCAAATACCAAATATTTGTCTATTTATATTTATCTTAAAGCTGTCTGGCAAATCTGGTTCTTCAAACAATGATCATTCGTTTCGTACAAAAAAAAAGAATAAACTATACAGAGGAGAGTAGGAAGAAAAAAATGTGTAAGAAAAGGAGAAGCGATGAAGATTTGAAAGAGAAGACGATGATTTGAGAATCCTTGTAGGACTTTCTGCTTGTAACTTCAATTTCCGAGAATGTTCGCTCATAGCGTCTTCTTATTAACTTCCAGAGAATTATTCGCGATTTTGTATTTGAAGAAACGCACCAAAGCATCTAATTTCTAGAAAAAGCCGAAGTAAAATTGATCGGGACACGAGTTGGGGTTACATCTAACAACGAAGAAAAACAGAATTTTGGCTGCACTGGAGCATGATTATCGCCAAGTGTCACACAATATACACACGATCGGTTTTTTATGCTCGATAAACGACCTTAGCGTTTCTCATCGTTCAGTGTTTAGTCGCTTTTCAATACCACGCGATAAAGTATAGTTTTCATTTATCATTAATTCTTTTTGTTTTCTCCTTTTTTTCTTCTTTTTTATACTATATGCTGGACTGAGGTATTGAGAGGCAAGATGGTCGTTTTTTCTTTCTTTTTTTTCCTTCTTTTTTTTTATACTCTAGGCATGGCGTAAGGTTACAAGTGAGAGCTGTGAGGCTGCTGTTCGTAGAACAGTACATAGGCTTCGTTGGAAACGACCGATCGCGCTGGAACGACGGATACCCGACTATCGTTATACTCATGCCACTCCCCCGAGTATGGGTGCTTACAATACGCCGTGTAATGACCAGAATGCGTTGTGCCCGAGTGATTCGCGACACCGTACAAATTGTACGTACAACCGGGAACTCTGGGCGCGGCAAAGGCACTGAGATCCAAACCTGTCAATGGAAAATCTACCATCACGTTTAGTTTGCTGCGGAATCGTTCCATCGGTGAGAAACGTTTTAAATCTTTGAATGTTTTTATTAAGGAAAGTACGGAACAGAAACGGTAGCACACTCTAGCATTCTAACTAATTTGCAAGAGCGTCAATAATTACCGTACAGCTTTTACTAAAGTCGGAAAAGGATACGAATAACAAGAATTTTTGGAAACTTCTGTATGCTGAAGCTTTTCGTGCACTTCCTCCTCATCTGACACTTGGAACAGGTCGGCTTCTCGTCACCGTCAAGCACCTCTTCTCGCGTGAAGTGTTCCAAACATTGGCTCAACTTTACTGTACCACTTCTGGCCGGTATTGGCAAGCTCAGATCCCAGAAAGGGTCCAACGTGACCGACACGTGGTCGCAGGAGGTGCAATGCAACGACGAACGTAATTGACCCACGAACACATCCACTACCATACTATCCTCGCTGCGCAGATAACGTTTCCAGCTCTCGACTGCCTTCTGACTGTCACTGAACAAAATTCGAAAGATTAATAATAATAATTTACTTCGCTCTTAGATTTTGTGAATCTACAAAAATTAATAGAATTAATGGTCTTCTTACGTGTACATTTCAGGGATATCCGTGTGTATCGGCTGGGGTTTCACCGTCACCCTGTTCACGTCTTCGTGCAGACCTTCCAGCAAATATCTGAGAAACTCTTGAGCATCTTGTTGGCTGTACCCCATGAAACGCGGTGCGAATCTTTGTATCTGGGACTTGAGCGCCGTCGTATTAACCACGAGGTCACCGCCCACCTCCCACAGCTCGTGAATCACCTGGCTGAACGCCTTGATTAGGGCTCCTTTCATACTGCTTGTGCTGGTGTTTATATCCGCCAAGTACTGCTCGTTCAGCAGATATTCCAGCAACGGTCTCGTATTGCTCAAACATTGGATCACACTGTTCATGAAACACTGCAAGACAGAAATACTAATAAAACGACCGGTTCTTTCAGAACGAACGTTAACGTCACTTTTATGCGTAAGTAGGGCGCAGCATTATGTAGATTTGGAAGAAAATATATATATACATATATAGATATATAGAACCGCTTCGTATACAACTCAGTCGAAAGTTTAAACACAGCCATAATACTGCCACCTTTAAACTTTACGCTGTGGTAAATAACTTTTCCATCCATTCTCTAACATTTGCAATTTTAAAAATAACAAATTCGATCGTCGCAATAGACAGTTACAAGCGAAGTTCGAATATATATAAGGTTAATAACGCAGCTCAGACGTTGATGTATTGATAAATATGGTGGAAAGAAAGGTTTGTCCGTTGCCACAGATGAATCCTACACCTTCGAATTCGATGGAAATAATACATGCAAAGAACCTGCCGCAAAATTGATCTTAGCTTGGAATCTCGAGGTCAACAATTTTACTCATCGCGAAGATGAAACTTTTCCATGGAACAATATTCGTTTATTAATGTAAAAGATACATGTAAACAGGCTACAATTTATGAAACGAAAAACACACGTTCGGCTCCGTCTCGAACGTGTTAATAATTACGGACGCGTGCATGCCAACAGCGACTTCCTTGGGAAAGTTTTATCTTCGTGATGAGTAAACTAACACTATGCAAGAAAGGGAAAAATTGTTCGACTTTGAAATTCAAAATATAAAGATCAACCTTGCGACATGTATTTCCATCAAATCGAAAGTGTGGAATTCATTCGCGACAGCCACGGATAAATTTTTTCTTTCCACCCTGTGTATAGTCAATGTATGTATACTCACTGTATTCCCGATATTTCGTAAACCGTTTAATCCGCATCGCTCATCGCGATGCGCTTGTAGCCGATTACGTGCCGATTTATTTGTCGGACTTCCTTCCTGTAATAGAGATCAGTGTTAGAATTTTAAATCCAAACTTAGTCAGCCATTTTCTTCTAGGGATCTACGTTTCTACGGGGAACAGAGAAACTGTCAAATATTGCTGATATCGTTCTTTGTTCCAGGCACGACTACTCATACTTCTTTAGTGGTGGCGGTGTCTAGCTTGCGGCACAAAGAGCATATATGTGTGTGTACATAAATATACACGCACGCACGCACACACACCACGAAGTTGATATACCCCTGAGGATACGTGCAATACAAAGAAAAACTTGTGTGGACCGATTATGTAAAACAGAGTATTTGGATTAGTAAAACAAGCATCATCGGCATTGAGAGGAAAGAAATTCCACATGGTACGTACATTTTTCGGTGTGTTCAACCGCAGCGTATGGATCGTTTCGAATAGAAAGTACGCCCAACACAATATATTCAGAAAAGGGAAGATAGCGTAAATATCTAAAGCGTCGAACAGCCGTGAAAAGGAAACGGTACTCAACGACACGGATGTCATCGCGTGCCGACTGGAACTAAGTATCCTTTACCCAATATATTCTTCACGTACACTCACCTTCGTGCGACTGGCTGGAGGCTGTAGAGTAGTAGCGCGCGCTATGGAATTGTTCGACTGTACTGAGTAAACGCCGAAAGTGACGCGTTTCTCAGGCGTCAGAGGAGCCGCGATGCCCAACAGGAACGCGTACACAAGCAGCAGAGTAATCGCTGCCCACACACACCACAACCCCCAGCCCAGCAGCTGAGTATAAGCCAGTTTACACGGTTTGATTTTCGAGAACCTCCGAGAGAGTCCCTCTGCGTCAAGCAACCCACGCTCAATTTCTCCCGCAGTAGTCTCCGACTACATCGTATACTCAGGGCGAGCACAACGAATAAACAGACATCGTCGTATCGTTGCAGCTTTCTTGCACGACTCACGAGAGCAAGAACTTGGAATACGGAGCACAGAGAGTTTGAGCAATCGCATCTATTACTCGAGCCGAAGAAAAAGTTTCTTCGCGGTTAACCACGAGTCAGTTTCGTGTATATTCAAAGATATCTCATTCGAGTGATCTTCCCCCACTCCACAGGTGAGACGGACACACGAAACTACTAGCACGTTACTCACTACCATCGACGAGAGAGATGGCTCGTGTCGCAAAAGAGGATCACCAACGATCGCCGACGATGTTCTCTGCAGAAGCAGAGCAGCGATAGGTTGTGCGTATTTCATACGCGTGCCTGTATACCTCGACATGAAGGACACCCGTTGCTACTAGATACCGTTAGCTTATGAGAGATCCGTTGACCGCTGGTTTTCTCTCTCTTTCTCTTTGCTTCACTCGTCCCCCTACTTGAAGAGCTGCGATCTATTAATAAAAGGCAGCTCTCACGACTAACCGTCGAATAGAATGGCGCGTGCTCGACGAGAGAAACATAGGCCAGTTTCGTAACAAGCGACTAGATGAGCAATAGAAGCGCATAACCTAATGTTTCGACCTATGATCCATCCTTTTCTACTTACTACCACTATTCCGTACTATATATATATGTGTGTGTGTATATGTGTACCATGAGGGTTCGTTACGAGCCACTGAACTTTCCATTAACTAAAAAAAAAAAAAAAATGGCGGGTCCTGAGATATGATTATCCATGTCTATTATAGATACATGTATGAGAGAAGGCATGTGCGTTTTTGGCCATGTTTAGAAACTGCTGCAACACTGTGCGCCGAAATGAATGACAGATATGTTCCTTAATAATAGAACATTAGAACGAAACGAAACGAAACGCTGCCATATATGTTAAATGAAAAGAAGGCTCTTGGAACGATTGATACAAAGCAGAAAACTAGAGAGAAAGAAAGATGGCGGGAATGAACGAAATTCGAGAACTGCGTGTACTTTGTTCTCGTTTTGAAACGAAACTACTTTCACCGACGAGATTCCGGTGAGTAAGAGCTCTCGTGAAACCAAGCTACGATGTCCTCTCCTCGTTGAACGATTAACGGAAATGACTTGAGCACACTCACAAACTGGTCGGCGACGCCGCGGTAGAGACTTTGGTGAGCCGTGGACGGTGCAGTGGGCGACGAGGAGGTCAGATTACTGGCAGTGTTCGCGGTCGTCCCCGAGAAGTGACTATCCGGTCTCCTGGAGGTAGAAGGCACGGATGGGTCGTCTCCATAGGTACCAGACGGTCTTCCCGCCACGCCGTTTTGCAAGATGGGCGGCGTGCTGCCGCCTACGAACCCGGCCTGATCGATACCGTACGACGAACTGGACGCGTTTCGTTGCTCCTCGCCGTCGTCGAGGCTCTCTGGGTCCCCGGTGCGGCCACCACGGAGGAAGGCAATCACGTCGATGGACGTGACGGTGTCGTTGATGCCGTGATGTATTACCTCACCGCCGCCTTTCGCTGCCTCGTCCTCGATCTCGACGTCCTCCTCCTCCTTCTCTTCTTCGACCCCTTGGATAATCTTCTGAGCGTTGTTGTTAATCAGCAGTTCGCCGTTACTCGGATTAGTGGCTAGGTTAGTGAGCAAGTCGAGCTTAACACCGATCAAACCAGCACCGCCACCGAGCATAGGCGACAAGAGGTTACGCTTAGCTGGTGAAACCTCGTCGGTTCGATGGGCAGCACCGCGTTGCTGCTGTTGTTGCCGATGATGCCGGTTGTTCAGCTTGTCTTCGTCGTCCTCGTCGTCATCGTCCTTACCGTCCTCGTCATCGTCGTCGCCGTCTTCGTCATCGTCGTCGTGGTCGTCGGGTTTGTTGTGGTCGTCGGGTTTGTTGTGGTCGCGTTCGTGACCGCGATCGTTATTATTTATCCCGTATTGTCCGGGATCACGAGCGTCTTCCGCGCCGCTGCTGTTATTCCCATTACTGCTGTTGTTGTTATGTTGATCGTCGTCGGTGTTATTGTCGTCCTTGTCGTCTTTGTCGTCGTCGTCGTCGTCATCGTCGTCCTCGTCTAGGCCGCGGATTGTGCCGCGCTCGTCGATCGTTACCTCGCCAGGCGACGCGGCACTGTCCGCGCGTGCATGCCCGCTGCTGAGCACCGTGCTGCTGGACAGTGGCCTTCTCTTCGACCTGGACCAGAGTGCACCGCTGACGGCGCAGGAAGACGACGAGGAGGACGAGGAAAGCGACGACTCCGGACGATGATCTCTGCCGGTACTGCGTTCGACGGCTACGTCACGATCGTCGCCACCGAATAACTCCGTCAATGACGAACCGGCCGAGTGATGCTTCCACTGATGATGATGAGGATGATGATGATGGTGATGATGATGAGCTCCACTGGTGTTGCCGCTGCCGGTGCTGCTCGTTTGACGAATATTCGGTATGTAACCGGACGGCGAGTACCTGATCAGATCTGCCGCTATTTCTAGCCTGGACGAGGACTCTGGCAGCGCTCTGTCCCTGGACGAACCGCCGCCGCCGCCGCCGCCGACAGAGATGCTCGACGAGGACGACGACGTAGACAAGCCGAATCTGATGCAGCTGGTGCCGTTTGCCGTCACATTCGTGGTCGCGCCACCACCACCACCGCCGCCGCCGCCGCCGCCGCCGCCGCCGCCGCTGCTGCTGCCCGTGCTGCTGTACGTCGACGACGAAACTGACCTGCAAACGTTCAGCCAATGTGAATATTGCGAACATCCTTTTTCATTCGTCTGGGCCCGCGGCCAAGGGCTGCCCTCTCTCTTTCTCCGGATTACGCAATCCCCGATCAGCATACACGATTCGTAAACACACGCACGCGTAATCCACATGTACACAGGTAAATGAATAAGCCAGTCCGTTTCTGTCTACGTTAGTAATAATTAATAATAAAATTAATCGAAGGCTGCTAGGTTTAATTTTTAGCCTTACTTACTTACTGCTCTCTCTCTCTCTCTATTGCTGATATAATTTCTTTTAATATCTCGCTTGAACAAGTTTCTAGAACGTTTCTCGTTCTACGTGATCCAGCAGCCCTCTGATCTCTCTTGCATGGTCGAGTGCAAGAGGTAAAAATCGTTTCCAAAAAAAAAAAAAAAAAAGAGAGAAGAGAGACGAAGCGGGAAAATGTTCAGAGGTGTAAGAACAACTCCACTTAATGAACAGAAAAGAGAGGAAATTGGTAGATGAGGCGGTCAAGTCGATGTTGCTGGCCTACATGCTGACTAAAGCCTCTTCGGGGTTTGGAGGTTACTAAATCAGACGCGTGACACCGTTCGTAGATTTGGAAACAGCACCGGGAACACGCACTAGATATTTAAAATATACAAGCATTCTTGCGCGCGCACGGAACGCACGTGCGCTAGATATCTATCTCATTGCGGTAAAAGAAGACGGAACGTCGAGGAGAAAGTAACCGTCCTCCGTCTCTGTCTCGCTGTACACCATACCAGAAGACAATTCGAAGCGAGGTCAAGGTCTTCCGCCACGCTTCAATCGATCAATCAGCACGGATGGACGTACACATATTTATACCCACGTGGCTGTCCATCGTGACAGCGTTATTTCTCGTACGGATTAAACTTTGCCCCTAGCATTATTTATAACGATTGTTACAATCAGGTGAATTCGCTTGAATATTTGCAATACTGTGTAAAGATACGAGATCATCTATCAAGCAAAAGAAGAAAAAAAAGAGAGATAATCCCGTAAAAACATATTGGAATAATTGTTTCAGAAATAATGTAGAACAATGCTTTTTGTCATCATTGCTTGAGATGGTATACTTTACACAGCACGCTGTCTATAGTATTTAGACATAAATATTTCGATTTTACTATTAATTTCAAACAGGTTACGGGACAACAAGACATAATCTCTATATCACTCCGATCACTCGCTATCAAGCAGTTTAATTGTATAAATTATTAGTCAGCAGGCGAAATTCTGGTTACAGATGGTTACGTACACTTCCACGAATTCCCACTGCAAAGTCAGTTAATGCAAAACGCCAAAGCTACCGAGCAACCGTCTCCTTTACCATCTGCACCTCATCCTACTTGACACACGTTATCCGGAAATGGCGACCACATCGCGATTGACAGATCGTTATTGATCAAGCCTGATATGAAAATAAGGAGACGGCCAAGTTTTGTCATCCAACGAGTGGACGAAATATCTACCATCTTCCATCAATGGCAAGCGAGCAGACAGGATTCTTGTGTAACTAGTTCTCAAGCTGCAAGTCTATACACGGGCCCATTTACCGTCGACCTCGACCTTCGCCGTCGCCTCGGCCTTGCCATAGAAACGGGGACTTATGGCGTGGCGCCCTCCTAATTGGATCATTGTGACACGAACAAAAAGTAATTGGCGCATTGTAAAAGGTGTGGCCGGGGTACCTGTTGCCGATTGATGTATTTATAACGTGCGTCCCGTAGCCGTTTTACCCACGGCCGGGAGACAGAGAAACGCAATTGGCACGAGCAATGATTCACCGGCCGGCGAAAGGGAGGGAAAAGATCGATGGTAAGGGAATCCCGCCACGTGGTTTCTCTGGACCATTATGTACCACCGAGCGGTAACGATACAGAACGATAACGATCGGCAGTAGTCTCGGGTAATCGTCGGCTGTATACCGGGATTGCTATTCTTGGCGTTTCAGGAATTCCAAAAAGACGTCGGTTAGTTGTGCGTCAAGCAGTTATTACGGTTATTTAATCGGACCGGATGCGGGAGAAACCAGAAAGATACTGCACAGAAACTTATCGTAGAGCCTTGGATTTTGCCCTAATTGCTTTATATCCTTCGTACACGGGGATCGCTCACCTTGCAGGTGAGGTGCGAGACCGGCTGTACTCCGACACGTAACTCCTGCGGATGCTTGCGCCCGACGAGTAGAAACTGTAGAGCCGATCGAGTATCAACCATTTAATTAAAACCTCTTTTTTTTTTCTTTTTTTGTTTGCAGTGTGAAAAAGCTCGGGATCGGCAGCACGCTAACAGCGGATTTACTTTCGATATTAAATAACATCAACGTGGATGTAAATGTAATCAACTGCTTGCTCAAGGCCATCCATGTAAAGAAAAGCCTAAAGAACAGTCTAGAGGGACAAAGTAATTGACAAGTCGAGAGAAGCACATTTGTCCAATCGGTGGAGCATCGACAGTACTAAAACGTCTCTTCTCTTAATTGACATTCCTTTCGATCAACTTCCAACATCTCAATGCCAATACTCCAATAATGCATGAAAAGACCAACCTTTTGCAAACGTAAGATATATTTATATAACCTTGTCATTTATATGATTCACGCATACAGTACTGCCTTGCTAACTAACTAGATCCAATCAACAGCGCACTACTGTACTTATGTAAAATGTACAAAGTCTTCAAGAAAAGAATTTTACTTTAGCAATTGAAACTTAAAGTCCGAGTTCGTTCCTGGGTTTCCGAGTTTGCAAACTACACGTGGTTGCCGATCCCTAGAATCCCCGTTAACGGAATGTCCGATCACGGGAGTGTGGAGGAGGGAGATCGTGACGAGAGAAAAAGAGACTCACCTGCCTGACGGGCAATAGGATCGCCTGTACTCGGTCGTATAGTTCGAACGAAAGCCCGAGCTGCCTGATGCCGACGAGGACGAGTAGAAGTTCGTCGGTCGATCTAAGATCGACGAAGAAGCAGTAGATCGGTAGGAGCTCAGCTTGGAGGCGGAGTTGCCGATAGCGGAACTGGTATTGCCGCTATTACCGCTGGAACATCGTCTGCTAGGAGAATGCGGCGCCATTGGACTGGTACTGTACGAGACTGCTACGGCGCCCGCCTGGCCCCCACGGTGATACGACATTGCACCCGGGTCACCAGTCTCACAATCTCTTTCTCTTTCTCTTTCTCTCTCTTTCTCTCTTTCTCTCTTTTCGACTCTCTTCTATAGAAACCCCTTCCTGAATTCCAACACAATTTAGGAGAGATCGATCAGTGTATCGACCGAGACATTTTTTTTTTTTTTAGAGAATTTTCTATTGTTAAAGCGCTGATTGTTTTCCGAGTATTCCAAGGGTGTTCGAGCCTTTCCGGGAAGAATCTAGCCCAGATTGGCCAGATTCTAATTCTGTTATTCCTTTCTTACCGAACAGTAGCATATCATTGTTCGAGGAGGGCGTAAGAAACGGTTGATAAGTACGAGTCCTGTGTAACCGACGCAATCAAGTACAATTGTAAATCCACGGTGCAAAGGTATTCGCACTACGTAACAAATGACAGTTTTACTTTCTATGGACTGACATAAAGGTACTCGTGAAATGCTATTTCAATTCTAGTTTCTAATATAATTTGAATTTACGAATCGAGTGCGTCCGCGAGAGAGCACCGCCGTAAACGAATGTCTGAAGATTTATTTTTGAAAAACTATAAAGTGAATCGTATCCTACGAGAGGACAAATATCGTCAAGGTTTGTTATCACAATTCATATCACAATTCGTGTATCACTTGTACCGCACTGTACTTGTATTGTATATATCGATGAACTTACATACGTTGGTTCCCACCAGGGCAGATTCAATTTTGCGAACGGATTTCGACGTTGAGCGCGCAGGGACTGAGGCGACTGATCCGTAAAACGTCAACCACTTAAGAACGTTGGGTAAGAAGACTTTTGGAAGAGTTGAGCAACGACGAGACATCTGTCTCTTAAGAGGCCAGACATAACGAACTCCGGTCGTGTTTCACATACAATCCGTAACAATCTGACCTAGAAAAATCTAACAGCCTTACCTGCCCTATTTTCAGATCCAAAACGCCGAAATCTTCGCGTCTAATCTCGAAGGTGCACTTGAAGTAAAAGTGAAGCGATCACACCGGGTCAAAAATTAATTGACGAGCGTTTCGTTTTAGAAGAACGAAAGGAGCGCGAATGATTTTCAACTTTGCCGTCGACCTTGCAACGAATTGTGTTTCACCTTGTCCTCTTTTATTTTTTTCTTTTTTTTTCATGGAAGAATTTACCCGAGAAGAAAATAGAACAAAAATTCCATGCAACGTTGATAGAAGCGGAAACCGCATTGCGTTCCATCCGATCAATCAGATGGATATCGATTTGTTTCGTTTCCCCGTGTGGAATAAATTACAATGAAGAGAAGAAACATCGCCGTTGATACTCCAGCTGTCAAATTCCACGAAGAAGAACGGGAATACAAAACGAAGAAATGCCAGAGGTTACTAGGTCGTGCTAAAAAAAAAGGCAGGCCGACCTTGAGCCGGCGAAAAAAAAAAGTAGCTACTCGCGCGCTGCTTGGAACGCGTGTTATTGTTTTAATCATACTATGCGTTGATTAGATCGATTCGATGAAAGATCAATGACTGAGAAATCTAGCAAATAATTTGTTAACCAAAGCAGTCTGAATTTTTTTTATGTTTTTTTCATTTTTGTCTGCATTCTTTTTTTTTGGTCACCTTATTTCATAGCACACTGTCGACAGATTCCAGTTACGTTTAATTCTTTCCGTTGAAGATTAAACCTTTTCAAAGCTCAAAGCAGATTGAAAAAAAAAAAAAAAATTGAAGCGTAATTTTAAATTTCGAGCAGAGAGTACGGACAAAATGTGAAATTACGTGTTAAGATATATATCACATAGATAAATAATCAGTGAAGTTAATCGACAAACGGAAAGATACCGCTGATTCTAAAAATTCGTAAGCTCGTGAATATATTTTTTATCAAGTGACAAAATGACAGATATTTGTTATTTAACAGGCAGGATGTAATCAGTCTGATAAAATCGCGTGTCTTATCTCTCCATAACGAAACGAAATGAGAGAAGATTAAAATTAGGAAACTGCATTACCAACGTAAGTTAAGTAAATTTCATTTTCGACCTTGCGAATTTTTCGAACGTTCTTAATAATCCAATCGAGCAAATTGCGATTTTGTTTCTGTAGCCAATGATGGCGTAAAAATCGCGCGCCCAACGTCCAAGAAAATTCACCTCTCTGCCAAATACCTAGGCGTCAAGAAAGCAACTACATTTTTCCCTTTAGTTTTGGCAACCATCCGAGTTTTCACCGGAATACACATCAGACGCGCAAAACCAATATGAGGAACATTTTGAATTTGCTCGAGGATCGTGTAACAAGTAAGATTATTCACTTCTCCTTTAAATGCCCCGACCAAAAATCATTTAGCAGAATATTGTTGAATTTCATTTCGAAGTTTTATTACACATCACGATAACAAGATGGCCAAGTTCGTAAATTTCTTTTCTTCGATTCGCAGAAGGTCGGACGCCACGAAAGAAAAAAAAAAAATACATTGCGTGCGCAAGGAAGAGCATCTCGCGGAGAAATTACGATGAAGATTATTACAGGTTATCTCTTATGTGTTTCACAGAGTCAATACAGTTACGTAATCGCATAGAGAGCACAATTGGAAATTATGTAACTAATCCTATGATGTGAACCCGCCAGTAAATGCCTGAAGCGTGCGATTTCATTAATTATGTTCAACGTCCCTCCGAGTGTCTCCTGCTGAAACTGATGGAATTTTTTTTTTTTTTTTCTTTTTACTTAATAATTATTTATCAGCAATAGCCGTGTCCCTTAGAAGGAAATTAACAATATTTTAGATTTGATTCGAAACACGAACGACAGAGTTTGAACGGCCCACGTTATTCGATCAATGGATCGGATCTATTACATCACGAGAATCAGTACACGTGGATCCGTGGCACGGCAGATTATACGTTTACGCAACGAAAACGAGGTGAAACATGTATCGCAGGCATTTTTAGCATTTCAAAACGCCGTCTACCATAACAATATCGTGAATCGATAAGTAGTATACGACAATAGCGCTATGTCAATGCCTTTTGTTTCTTTTCTTCTTTTTCATATTAAAATTATAAAACGTGGAGAGAATGGACAAGAAGCAGAAACCTGAATTATCGATCTCCTTTTTTCCCCCGGTAGTCAAGGCAGAGAATTACAAAATGAAAGAGGATATGACCAAAGTAGTAAAAGCAAAGGAACAGATGCGCACAACAGGAATCGAACTATTCGATCCTTACGAGATCCACGTCACAAATACACGTACACGTAGGTAAAAGGCATGTAACGAATACGCTCGCACGTGACGATGCTTCTGGTTTGCGTACAACTGCACTTGTAACGCGATTAATAGAGATCGATCGAATTTAGTTATGGTCTTTAGCTACGACTGGTTTCGTTGTATCCGTGCGTATGTAACATGTTGCGTTATATAAGATATATATAACGCAACTTAAAGACAGAAGACACGCACACTTAGTCCCTTTAAATAAGGTACACCCCTTAAATTTCAAAGCAATATTCTCTCAATATTCGAATTTCCTATTAGTTGGACCTGAGACGAAATCTAAAGAAATAAAATGAAGAATATAATACATGACAATGTATACATTTGTTATACTCGTATACATAGAATGTTCATATCTTGCATTCTCTTTGGCATGGATAAAGTTAATAATTCTGTGAGCTAAATATTTACATTTCTTTCAATCTGTAATTCAATATGTTAATGCGTTGTAAAAACTCAAAATTATTTTGATACAAATAATCGATATGTATTTATATTTTCAGAACTGACTGTATGTATATATGACGTTTCTTTCTGCATAACGTCCGATTCAAACTGATTATGTGATCAAAATCCTCCTAAAAACAATAATAAAAAATGGAAGAAAAAAAAACAGGACAAAACGAAAAAAGAAACACTGAGGAACACAGGAACATTATTTGTTTATTATTTGAATACAGGGATATAACGTGAAAATTACTATGTATCTTGGATTTACGAGAAAGTCTTTGATTTTTTTGCATCAACTTCTTTTTTAACTTAATATAAAAAAAAAAAAGAAAAAGGAGGATACATCGCAATTTATTAATTAAAATTCATCGCAAAATTGAAGCTCGTCGACTCTCATGAGTAAGACATTATATATAAATTATATATATTTTAAATTTTTCTTTATTTTTTTTTAAGATATCGTTACTCCATCCATAACGGATTGTATGAATTCACTATTGAATGTAAAATAACCAACTAACTCTGGAAATGACGAATCAAGCCTGGGAGAGCATAATCACCGTTTATCCTTCAAGTTCATCACTTTTAATAACATGAACAAATATAGTTAAAAATTTGAGAAGTCAGTCGACTTCAACTCAATCGACCGAAAAATTGAAAATTGGCGCTCGTGCGTAATACACATGAGGATGATAAAATATTTTCAATTCTACTAACTTAGAACGACGATAAGTTAAACTTTTCTTTAGATCAGCGAAAATTCATTTATTCGTACCACGACACCCTATACAGGGATTAGTCAACAATTTTTTCGGTGCCTCGAGGTGAAGTTCTCAGCCCAATGATGTGACGTGGGAGGGAAACATTTCTGGATACTTGGAATATTTTTATCGAGCTGTTTCGATTTGTAACCTAACCCCGTGCGCACGAGGCCAGAGAATAAGAAAAACGCGAGAAAGAGACGGCGAACTAGGCGAAGTGGAGAAGAGAAAGACAGAATGTGTGTGTGTTGCGTATGAGAAAGAAAGGGCGTAGGAGGAACAAAGACAGAGAGATAGAAAGACGAGATGGCAAAGATAGAGAACGAGAGACGCGTTAATTTGGACGAAACCTTTGGCTATTTCTCTCACATGTTCCAAAGTTAAAATCCCACGGACCCGTACATAGCATCTATAACCGCATATTTCCATACATACGAGACATTCATTAGAAAATGGAAAATACTCACGGGCTGTGCGAGCCTTATACAAGAGGACCAAGTTTTCACTTGATTAATTCGTCCGGAGGTGTATAGTACGTGTACACGATTTCACTAGAAAACGTCAGTGTTACGTAGTGAACACGTTCGCGTTATCTGCGATCATATCGTCGTGCATCGGACAGCGAGAGATCGAGCTTCTGTTCCTTGCGGAAATTTACGGAGAGAAAAAGGGGAGAGGAGGTGATGCGTCGCGATGCTGAAAAGCACGGGCCATCCCTCGGAATTGTAAGTGACGTCACACCGTGACGAATACTCGGAACTTTCGATACAATGTGTCTGAGGTGAGGAAATAGTCGCACAACGGCTACTCGAGAGGCTCGAGACACACGATCGATTTACAACACAGTTTATATGTATGTTGATCACGTCATGACGGTCGTTCCACCGAATGAATCTTTGACACGGATTTTTTCGGTACGAGCCGCCCACGAGCTACCTGGCCGAGTTATTTACCTTTCTCTTCGCACTTTCCCTCTCGTAGCTTATCGGACACTCGAGACACCACGAGATTATCACCACCGACTTCGCTAACGCAACGTGTGTGCAAACAATATGGCGATTACAAGGTTGCCGATTTCCGCGTTGACAGTCATCGCTTCCGCGGCTACCGCATTCTGCGCTAGCGCAAAGGAAAATGCCGTTTCGTTTGCCTAGGGAAACGAAATTTCAATGCCAGTGCTGCCACACGCGACTATGTATGACGACACATAACTACCAATCGCACTTGCCGCGCCGTACTGTTTCAACTTCAAACTTTGTCGATCGATCGGAACTTTTCTTTGAACTATTTCTCATTTTTATACGTTGTTCGGTGTACTGATAATATATTCTCACGTACGTGAAAATGAAGTGAAAATAAACTCCGAAGAAATTGAATTTTTTGCAAATTTTATAACTAGGTTTTCACTCGCAAAATGTCAAAAAATGTATGGCAAAATGTATTTATAATTGAATTATAATTGAAGCTATCAAAGTCATTTGTTACATTGCTTCACTACGTCTTACCATTCTACAGCCGTTTACCGTAAACACAAGCGACATACTTAGTTTCTGAGATTACTATTCAAATAGAATCTTCGTTTAAAATGATAATATCTGAACAGAAGCTCTGCGGGGTATGTAAATATATATTATTCTATGAATTAAAACTATAGTTAAAAAGATATTTTTATCTTGTCATTAAATTTAACTAAGAAATCAATATAATACCATATGTCCACTCGCTTAGGGTAGAAACTTACGCTGTCTTTCTTTATCGCTTCTATAAACTTGTTTTCTATAATTGCATCTTACCATTAAATTCAAATTTACATTCTATTAATATTTTCATAATTTTTTGTCTCTATTGTACACATACATTCAGATGTTGACGAGAATTGCAATGTTCTCTACATAATATGCATATTCTTGATTTATTTTCGAGCCGATTTTTAAGGTTTTATTTACAACTAATTTATATTTCAAGAATCAACTTACACTTTCCAATCATGGTATTGAGTTTTCTCTAATTCCATGTGCCAATCAGCCTCTGCATAAATATATGAGTATTTTCAGTAAATCATTAATCGCCTTTTGAAAAATATCATTCAATGATTCTAGAATTCCAAACTTAGTTTCTAAATTCAATCACACATTCTGAACTTTCATTCTCCTTTCTAAAATTAATTGTTTTTGCCATCCGTTGCTACCGCTCTTGTTCTCTTAATTTCTGCAAATGGCCATATACTATCGAACTGTTTGGATTAGTCAAAACTAATATGTATATATTTACAAATATATTTACAATTTATGTTGCTCGAAATGATCAAACATCTTTGTTACATTGCTTCTCAACATATTCTATGGCCATCTGTTGAACACGAGCGACATCTTCCTCAGTACCATGCCGTTCTTCGAAATTAATGTACTTTTTGAATAGAGTTTTCATTTTTCTAGGCGGTAATGTTTGAACAACAGCTCTTTCCAAGACTTTCCTGTGAATATACATCATTCTAAGATAAGTACTCCATGAATTGAAAATTAAACTATAATTGAAAAGATATTTTTACCTTGCTATATCAATATTGTCAGATTTAACTAAAGAATCAACATAGCAAGACCATATATCCACTCGTTTGGGATAAGAGCTTAAAATTTGTTCGAACAAAGTTTGTGCTCTTTCTTTATCCCCAAGTTTGTTTTCCATGATTGCAAACCTTGCTATTAGATTCACATCTGTAAAATTTACATTATATTAACATTTTGTTTCACGACTCTTTATCTCTATTATACACATACGTTCTGATGCTGGCAAAGATTGCAATGCTCTCTGCATAATGTGCCTTGATTTATCTTTCAAGCCTATCTTTAATAATGCTTCTCCGCAATTAACCCACACTTCAGGAATCTGCTTAAACTTTTTAATGATGGTATTAATAATTTTCTCTAATTCCATCTGTCTACCAGCTTCAAGATGAACAGTCAACATATGAGTATATATTTTCAATGAATCATTAGTCCTCACTGCCTCTTGAAAAACATCATTCAATGACTCTGGTGTTCCAAACTTAGACTCTAAATTCAACCATGCATCCCAAACGTTTAATCTTTCATTCTCTTCTCTGAAATTAATCGTTTTTGTTGCTCTTTTTGCAACTGCTCTTGCCTTCTCAATTTCAGTTGACTGCAAATGGTATGCCATATACTGTAACCATATTATTGAACTGTCTGGACTAGCCAGAACTAATCTATCAAACTGATCCACAGAATTTGGTAATTGATTACTGGCTAATGCTTCCTCTCGTTGCCGAATTTCACGTTCTTTTTGTCTCTCTTGTTCTCGACGTTCAATAGCACTCAATTTCTTTCTTTTTGGCTTTGGTTTCTCTTCCATTTCATCTTCGCTACTACTAGATGATTCTTTGTTCTTAAGACTTGAATCGCAGTTGTTATCCCAGAAAAATCCGCATTCAGATAATCTTGGCTTTCCATTGTTATTCTCATTACTAACATCATTAATGTCATTTTCCCAATTTTCTTTGACAGATTTTCTTTTCGTCTTTGCTTCGTCTTTCCTCATGTTCTTGATTTTATCTTGTGCGATTATATTTTCTTTGACAAATTTTCGTTTCGTCTTTGCTTGGTCTTTCCTCATGTTCTTGATTTTATCTTGTATAATTTGTTCTTCACAATTTCAATTATAATTACACCCTCAAGAAGAAAATGTTGCACACGTGGTTATCATTAGTTGCCTCACGTTCGAGGTTATGTTAGCAAAACAATCGCACAACGCTACAACAGACTCAAAATACATGATCAATATATTATGACGTCTTCTTGTCTTCTTGTGAGGTCTAGCGCGCGTTGTTCGAATTCAAAATTTCAACTTCCAACGTCAAAGTTTTAAAACTACAGTTTCGAATTTAAATTCAAATAGAAATTCAATATGCAATTGTAACAATAGTTGAAGCATCGCTTTTGATCTCAAGTTAAGCATCTTATCTTGTGATTAATTATAAGAGAAAGGTAGTCCAGATCCCGATACTAAAACTTCCTTCCAGTATCTGGAGTAGGGATTGACCGCTATTACAATATATATAATAATGTTTATATGTTAATAAGTTAATAATAAGTACACATGTTAATGGTTATATAATGGTCATTTTACTGGAAAAATCTTTAACGGGAGATTTGGTCTGAGCGTTGCCACCATCTCAAGTTAGTGTTTATTTGTAAGAGTTTTCTGATGTGTTGTAAGGATAAGAAGACTTACATTAATAATATGACTATAATACTAAAGTAAATATATATATATATTTATTTTATTTATATTTATATTATATATATTATTTTTTACACTTTTTCCCTCTTGTTGCTTATCGAAGATTTAATGATAATTATGAAATTGCTGATTTCTCTCATTTTGCACTAGCGCAGAAGGAAATATCTAGGAAATTTCGATGCCAGTGTTGCCACTCACGGTCATGTGACAATTACACTACTAGTCACATTCATTGCGTCAAATTATTTCAATTTCAAATTTGTCAATCGATCGGTTAAAACAATTTATTTTGAACTAATATAACTTTATGTTATTTCTTATTTTTATTCGTGCCGGTATCAATAACATGTTTTTCGTACATGCAAATGAAATGGAATTAAACTTTTAAAAACTAAATTTTTTACAAGTTTTGTTTAGTATATATTAATTTTTAGTATATAAAGTTTAGTATATAATAATTAGGTTTTTTGCTTGTATGATATTAGGAAACATCACAAAATGCATTTACAAATGAATTTACAATTTATATCGTTCGAAGTGGTCAGACTATATTGTTTCTCTATGTATTCTATTTTATTTTCAGCTGAACATGAGCCACATGTTCCCAAGTAATTAATAAACATTTTGAACAAGATCTTATTTTTCTAGGTGATAATATCTAACTGAACTCTCCAGGATTTTTCCTGGACAAATACAAATGTTAAGATAATTATTCCACGAATTAAGGTCAAGTTCAAATAATATTTCTACTTGCCATATCATTGCCATTTTTTGCCAAATTTAACTAAGTTTTTATTTTTTTTGCGGGTATCATATTTTCTTCAATGTATTTCTTTCGTTTCAAGTTATTATCAGCTGATTTTTTTTGTACACAGTATTTCTGTTCGAACGCAGATTTTACCATACAAATAGGCATAATATCAGATTCGTTGGAATTTAATAGGGTGTAACATTTGATTTTAGAATGAACAACATAAGGTGTTAAGTCTGGCTGTATATCATTTATATGACGACGTGCAGGCATTGCAGCCAAAGTTCCTTTACCAACGCCATGTAACAATATTAAAACAAACCAATTTGTCACCAACAAGATTCTACCGCGTAACGATTTGCCATCAGGAAAGTGTATTTGCTTGTTTTGTTTTCCACTTATTTTGTGCATTATTGACGGTAATGTAGTCAATTCAACAAGTTCGTGCAAGTAATTTTTCCATATAATCGTTCCAGAAATTTTGTCTCCTATTTTTTTATTTTCAAAGTAATGATCCTTAGATACTATGCCCAGTAAGTTATTCTTTAATCGTACAACCAAACCAGCAGCAGTGACCTTTTCAATCTTCCCTGTAACTCTCTGTCCCAATTTTACAGACGTAATTGGTCTGTTTTCGTAGTATGGATTTCTTGAAAGTTCTAGTAATTTATTAAAATATAAAATTAGTGTATCTACTGATGTCACCATTCTATTTTTAAGGCTAGATAAACTATCATATATTTTCTTCAATGACAACGTTAATCTTAATTGCTGCTCTTTCTTATTAATAGAAACTATCTTCGCAAATAAAATTTGATTTACGTGCAGTAGATTAAAATTACTAATGTTACTATAAGATATATATCCAAACGATGTACATCCTGCAATTGGTAAAATGACTCTCATGCCATCCGATTCCATATCTTTAATTGAACAAGGTATACAGTCTCCTACTTTTAGTTTTTCAAAATTCCTATATCTTTCTTGTGGTAGAAATGTCCTAGTTAGAATTAAACCAGGCATTGTAGTAAATACTAAAGCCGAAAGCGTATCGCCAGGAATACATTTCGATGCTAGAAGAGTTGCAGTTTCCATACAAGGTGACATATGACCAGCTGGTAAAAATCCTGTACTAACTGTCTGTTCATTATTTTTACTGATTCTTAAATATACTCCGTGAGAGGATGACTCTATTATAGTTCCTTCTACTTCTTCGCCAATGTCAAATGATATTTTTTCAATTTTTACATCTTTATCAGCCATACTCAAAGTTATCTTTCTCGAATTTTTGTCTACCACTTCAATTTTTACCAAAATGGTTTGTCCAACTGAATAGTTCCAATTCACGTCAGATGTTTCAGTATCGAGATTAGTATGTGGAATCAAACCTTTGACATCTCCAAAAAATTTTACCAGTATACCATGTTTATGTATTTGAATGATTGTCCCGTGGTGTTTCAATCCAACTTTCGCGTCTTGTATATTTGCCAAAACGGGCAAATTACTCGTTATCAAAGACCTCTTTAAAGTGAAATATACCCGTTTCCAACTAGTATGAACAGACAAGACTCTTGCTTCTACTTTTTTATTGATTTTCAGTTTTTTCAAGGCGCTTAAACCTTTATCAGATATGTGCTCTGATGTAATTTGTCCATTAAATTTACCAACTTGTACATTGACGAAACCGGTGTCTTTATCAATATTTGTAATTTTTACGTTCACCACGTCACCTGGTTTGAAATCAGACAGTGAAAAATACTTTTGCACCAACAGCGAATGCTGCATTGTACAAATATAAATTCCATCTATCCAACTGTATGATAATACTCTGCATTTATGTATAGTACCAGGTGCGAATTTTTCAATGATTTTATCATACTCGATGTTCGTCCTCTTCAAGGAAATAAATCCTCGTGTTCCACTTTTAGTTAATTGTAACACTATTCCACCAAATTCTCTAAATAAAGCAGTACTTTCTTCTATAATATCACCAGGCTTAATAGTATTGTCCCTAAATTTACCTATCATTAAACTAAAGTATGCAAATTTGACGGTCGGTAAAATATACAATAATGTACCAGTAATTTTCAAACTGTCTGAGTATTTGAACAAAGGTTTATCTAAATATAGTTGATTTATGAATCCTATATTGTTTTCACCTAACGAGACACATAAACCATTAGACAAAACTTTCTTTATGGAAAGATTATATCTTGTGCCTGGTATCAAGCTGTCCAATGATCTAATTTCGATTTCATGAACAGTGTTAAGAAGCTTTTGTTTTGGAGTTAATGTAATTGTTGACGTATTCTCATTAGCTTCAACATTTTTAACATAACATAGAAGTTGTTTACCTGGAACTAAATGAGATTTCTTATTAACAACAATTTACATTTAAATACCATAAATACAATTTACGAACATATATATATTTAAATTTACTTACACAAACATTTTTCATTGTCACTTTCCTTAGTAGGAATAAACGCTCTCACATTTGCTAAACCAGTATCTACTATATAACCATGATCTTCTATGCTATTAATGGTGCACACTATTTTTGAACCATTATCTAAATGTACAATATCTAAATTTTGATTTATCAATTTAGGTTCAAGAGATATTCCAATTTGAAATTTCTCTTGTGGTTGTATAGTTTTTATGTAACATATAACATAATCCCCACAGCTATATAACTCTAAAAGAGATTTAATTTCGCTTGTTTTAGAATCCTCTGACTTGATCAAATTTTGCAACAAATTTGTGTAACATTCACTAATGTCTGTAATTTGTGCACGTCCTATTAAACCACCTGGTAAAGATATCATCAAATCGTACTCCGTTATTTCAAAAATGCATCCTAATACCACTAATCCCTCAGATATTGTTGTGTATGATAATCGTTCTGCAGTATTCGGTATAAAATTTGTTTTCTTTTCATCTTGCTCTTTTGCTCTTTGTTCCTCACGTTTCTTTTTACCAATTTTTTCATGTTTGTTAAATAGCTATAAACATAAATTTGGAGATAGTAAATGAATAAGTAATTGTAAGATATTAAAATATGATAATATTTTTATAATAAATTTACCAAATTTGATGATTTCTTTTTCTGAACTTTTTCCCCGCCTCTTGGAAAATTTGCTAGTGTCATCTATGGAAAGTAATTATATTACTATTGTATCATAAAAGGAAAATATCAAAACTATTGTAAAAAAATTAACAAAAACTATTGTATAAAAAAATGTAATTATGAAACTTAAAATTGAAATATCAAAGATATGATATATGTTTAATAATTTATTTCATGAAAATTTTACCTTTTTCACTGCCAAACAATTATGTCCTCAAAAAGAAAATGTTTCACACGTAGCACGTGGTTATAACCGTTGCCGTCACGTTTGATTTTTTGAGGTTATGTTAACAAAATTATATGCGTAATGCCCAACTTTATTCTGTTAAAAATAGAAAATAAAATCGTACATGTAATTAATTAAACTTTATTTTGTTTAATGCAGCAACACATTAATATACAAAAAGCCCTAATATTACATCAGCGTAAAATCATAAATATTACTATTTACTTATTGATCTGTCAGCTTTTTTACTTCAGGATCTTTTATGGATAATCTTCGATCAACATTAAATCCTTCAGATATTGGAGGAATTAAACCTGCCGCGACGTATCTTCCATCATTTGTTAGAAAATTGTATATTCCACAAGCTTGTTGTACTTCGGCTATCTCAGATTTGATCTTGTACTTGTGCAATATCTTTTTTATTTCACAAATTCTATTATATTCACACTTAGTTTGAAGGCCTAAAACCAGAATATCCAAAACTGGATATAAAACAGTGAACAAGGATAAAGTTTCTTCATTTATGTCATTTGTAGAACCAACATTCCAAGAGAAAACTGTTCCATTTAAAACTGCAATGGGGCCCAATAATAACGATTCATCATTTAAAGTAAATCCTATCTAAAAATGTAATTTGCAGTTAAAGGCATTGTAATTTTATCAGGCATAAAAGCTAAGAGATTATTTTATACCGGTAGACATGATTTTATTCTAGTCCTTTGTTTTGTATTACTTAATTCTGAAGTTTTATCAACATTAATGATATCGACAGTTGTTTTACCAGGTCCGTCATATTCTCTGAAGATTCTTGAAACGTGGAATCGTCTGTAAAAAGAAAATTATGTAAAAATTAAATGAACATTCATTAAATGGATTGCACATTCTCTCCTTACAAGTTGTCTCTAAAAGAAAAGAAAGACACGAATTAAAATAATACATACCTAATACTTTGTAGTAATCGCTTTATGGTGGATGAAGTTTTGATTAAAAACATAATGTCTTGACTAATATTTTTTTTTTAACTATTATTTATTTATTTTGGCAACTATCATCTGAGCTTATTTGTATTTGGAATAATTGTAGCCACTCTATTTTCTTGATAGTCTATGACTGTTACCGATATCGTTTGATTGGTCGATTCAAATAGCATCAAAAAATTTTACCGGTACGAAAATATAGTGTTCAGAATAGTGAATAAAATCTAACTCTCTTACAATATCCTGCCTTAAACTTCATCATGGAGATGTTCGATAGGCTGCGACGTCCCTTTCCGATTTTAGTGTATTTTTAAAAGTATTTTTGGAAGTAAAAAAAAAAGATAATCTGTCAGAAGGAAGTAATTGTCTTATTTTGACATTATGGACAGCAATTTGACGAAAATGAGCAAAGGCTGTTGGAAGTTCGACGAGGAGGATCGAGGTGAGGAGTCTTAAAACAGGCAGGTTACTGAACATTAAATGTCAAAAGACATATTAAAACAAATAATTATGTTATAATTGTAACATTGCGATTATTTTTCTAACTAATTACTAACTGTACAGCTATATGTTGCGTGCACGTCATATCTTTTTAATATTAAAACTACCGATAACCACGACATCAAAGAAATCAAAATGAGTGAATGAATTTGACTATTTTAGTAGATCTAGTGTTAAGGAACCTCCTTGGCAAATGAATTAATGTTAGAAATTCCGAATATATTTATAATTAATTACGATCTCACGCCTTACCAAAAGAATTAGACGAATATTAATTTTATAGCGTTGTACATAGACATTGAAGAAGAAGACACTGAGGAAGATAAAAGAAATAAAGTATACAGCTTTTGGGATCAAACGCCTGATCTACTTTTAGAGGAAATTTTTTCTTATTTAACTATCCGTGAAAGGTATTACGCATCTTTGGTATGTAGGTCATGGTATCGTGCTTTTAAATTACCAAGGGTATGGTCTACCTTTACGTTGGAAGATAATACGCTTACTAGAGGCAAATTTAATTATCACAGTGGTTGGCAATATGTCTTAGATCACATGAGAACTTCTACCTGTTTGAATAAAATTGGCAAAAATATTAGATCTCTGGTTTTTGAACCTATGTTGAATTTCTATAATCTGTATGAATTCATGAATATGATATCTTGGTATACCGAAAGACAAGGATCAGATAATACGTCAGTGGCAGGTGTTGGTACTCACATTCATCGGCTTAAGTTTACATTTCCCTGTAATATGGCAAATACAGATGACCCTGATAGTATCAGGCTTTTTGGTACTGGTGGAAAATTATTAGAAGCATTGAAAAGGTTGATGCGTAATTTACGCAATTTGAGATGTTTAGAATTGATAGACCTCATGTTAGATAGCAAAGAAGCTTTACATTTAATGGATGATATCTGTGCCAATTGTACGCAAACATTGACAAAATTGGTCCTAATTAATACCACAAGATATTATTGTCCTCTTCTACATGTAGGAGTATTTATTAACTTAAATGTAAGTTATCTTAGTAGAAAAGCTTGCCACAGTTCACACAAATCTTTTAACTTACATTATTTGTTTTATGCAAAGGTATTAGTTATTAGTCCTCAGAATCTTCATGAAGATGTGATAGATTTAATTGGTTATACTAAATTGGAACATCTTCATATTTTCCAAAATCGCTATAGTCAAAAAGATACCACAGTGAGATTGGTAATAGTTGCATTAGCTTTAATATAAAATGCATTATTCCAAATACATTTAATTAGATTTATTTACAATACAACTTAATCTCTAATATAGCCTTCAAGAAAATCGTGGATAAAAATGAGAAAAAACAATCCACACATTAAAGTTCATTTTGAAGTGGAAAGTCATAAACCTACAGATATACTTTTGCCTATTGATTTGTTAGAACATGGGAATATTCCGTGTCACAGTATTGTTTTAGATACCCCAAATACACAGGTCAGTGTTTTTTGTGAAGTATGATAACCGATTGTGGAATTATGGTACGATGTAAAAATTTAATAACAAAAAGATTAATTACATAGATTAAATATTTCAGATTTCGCCTTCAACTATTCTTAATCACGGAACATTTTTCGAATCGACAATAAGAGTATATGCGTTCAAAGGTCTAACCAGATATTTCGCGCCTAGAAATTTTTCACAAAGATTGGACGAAGCAATAGTACAATTTTGCAAAATGTGTCCGAATCTTCATACACTGGTATCACTTTGTGTTTGAACGAATTTCTGATGTATATCTGTGACTTTCTTAAGACTAACAAAACCTGTGTGATAGCATGCGTTCGAATTTTTGTTGTACAAAAGGCTTTATCGCTGTTCGTGTAAGTTTTATCTAACTAGCCCGTGTATATAATAAAAATTGAAAGAAACACATTGAAAATATGAAAAATATCTTTTACAGCTTCTATGGATCTATTTATGTACATATGTTGTGTGGCAATATATCAATGATTTGTCAATAGTACACAAGGCAACAGATTTAAATTCAGATCGATTACTGTATCAATGACTTGGAAGCCAATCAGTGGGAGACAAAAATTTTACCATGACACATTTGATGACATGCCTGGGAATTTAGTTATTGAACGAATAACACTTCACACAATTGAGTTAACCCACGGATTGGTTTCTTTGATATTCAATTAATATATTTATCAAATAACCGTCTTTTAAATGACTAATTTATAAAAAAAGAATTTAAGTAATTAAATTCATAATTTAATAAACTTGTACATTTAATAAATGTTTCTCTGCAGATGATACGAGATAAAATTTCAACTGCCACGATATTGGAAATCGTGTCTACGGCAAAGAATTTACGTTGCTTATATGTCCGGAGATATTCGGTTCTAAAGAAATGTGATGGGGATTGGTTAAAAATTATGAATTGGTCACCAGCACATTATCAATGGATTAAAAAGAATAGTTGTAGTTATGCAAGTACAGAAAGGGAAGTATCTAAAATATTGAACTACAGGTGGTATATGTTAACTGAAAGAGAATTTAGAGATCAAATGGTGAAATTACATTTATGACGTTTCTATTGAGAAAAGAGAAAAATTCTTACAAAAAATGTTTTATATCAAACAGATTGTGTAATTACGCAATAATTACATATTTATAAGTAATACGTGTGTAAATAATATTGCTTGTATAGTTCATATATCTACATTTTCTAATATAATCTACTGTGATGATGTATCTAAAAGATTATTTCTTTAAATGATTGACAGGGATTGTTATATACAGAGATCTTATATACGATCGTCAAATATGCAATATAATAAAACAACACTAATTACAAGTATTTCTACTTTATTTTATCATATAATATATAACCAAGAATTCCTATGTTATATTATAACTTATGTAATTATGTACAATGCCAACTTATATATTTTTATATATTTAGACAAGGTAACTTATTTAAATAGTTACATCTAATACTTATTTAAATAGATGATTATAATTAGTATACGAATCTGTATATATTCCAAATTAAGTATTATTTGTAAAAGTTAAAACATCATAATAATTCGAGCATTAGAGTTAGAATTCTTTTTACAAAAATTATATACTAACATAGCAATATTCATTAAATTCAATAAAGAAAAACAAATATAACAAATATCGAACATTTGTAGTATATACATATTTTAATAACGTATATACAAAATTTAAATAGTATTAAACAACATTGAGTAACAGTAACGGTCTCAGTTACAATTAGGAACAAGTTAAAACAAATTTTCTATTTGATCAATTAAAACAATATTCAAAGTATATTTTCTTTTCTTGCTCATTTCTATTTACAATTTAAAATAATCCATCGTGGAAAATAGTACGCAATAAATTTTCTCCAGTACTTACAGAATGTATAATAAATGTATAATAAATAAAAATTTTAATTATGTTTTCTTATTTTAAAAAAATTATCTAGTGTAAAAGCAGAAAGTTGAAGAATTACGGTGCCAAGGCTGCTGATCGTTTATCTCGGTTTTTATTACGTTGTATCGTACGTGCTTTAAATGCAGCTGCATTCATCAGTGTCTAAATAAAATTCACGAAATCAATTATTTTATCTTTTTAAAATTAATTACAATTAATTTATTGGAATATTCACATTATAAAACTCACCCTTTCCAATTTAGTCGTCTTCTGATTCAGTGATACTGGTAAAACTTTGTTACCAAGATGAAAAATTTCGCGCAGGAGATGATTTTCTGCAAGATGAATATTTATACCCGGACCAAGCAATCTACAACACGCGTTGTACTGAGTTCGTGCACACCATCCTTCCAAATATAGGATTTCTTGGCCAAATTTTACATGCATTTCTGGTACAATGTCCTCCTAATAAACATTACAGATATTATCAGTAGAACATGGTTGTGTGTATCGATATGCGAGTAATATTCGAATATCTACATTACGAAACGCACCTCTATGTAGCGAAGTATATCTCTGAAATTAGCTCTCTGTTGCTTACGATCTTTTTTTGCTCTGTACTTATTCGAATCCGTAGCCAGATCTTTTAATATCTCGATTAAATCCAATGACCAATCTTGCTCATAGTCGTCAGAAAAATCACGACCAAGCTCGAATATTATAGCTAGAGCCTCTCCAGCCGACAACCTTATGTCCAAATGTGGTGATTTCAATAACTCGCGCAATTTATTCAAGGACCTGCGATGAAAACAGTTAATTTTAATATTTTATTCTAATTAATTTTTGAAGATACTTACGGCATGTAGCTATTGATTTTATCACTCGCAAGCAAATTGTATATATCAGCTGGTGCCATTATTGTTAAAAGAAGCGTCCATGATGAAATAGCAGCAGCGTGTAATGCTGCGACCTCCGAAGAAATAGTTGCTATAGCACCATTCCCTTTTAGATAAGAACCAGAAAAAATACTAGATAGCAATTGCATGATTTCAATAGTAGCGGTCGCGTCATTGCCTGATAAAAATTGATTCATGCTCAGAGCCCAACAACACTGCAAGTAGATAGATAATTTATTATTCATATATAAATTGAATCATTATCTTTTTTTCTTCCTCTGTGGTGTCGTACATACCTCTGAACGTGCTTGTGTAGAAGCTGTGGTGTCACTGGCAATAAAAGTCAAAGTACTCTTTAAATCTCGACAAACTACTTCTGCACTTTCGAAAGCTCCCAGTTGAACACAAAGCAAAGTACTTAATCTGGCTGCTGTAGATTGTTCTTCGCTACGGCCCTTTTTCAAACCTCGCTCTATTGAATCTGTGATGGTCATTTTCCTATCTTCTACAAAGTCTGGAATATACTTGATAGCAAATATTTTCTCCATTCCATTGAAACAGATTGTTCTGCCTTTTGCGCTCTTCTGTGTTAGACCATCGATTGCTCCCTTCAGTTTTTCTTCGAATGCTTCTTGCTGTGTAAATTCATCAACCTCGTTGTCGTTCACATCATCTAACATGCTGCGATTGTCAGATTGACTGCTGGACACGCTACATGCATCGTTATTGATAGAATCTTCATCAGATGTTAACTCAGCTCTCTTTCCACCATGACCTGTAGAAAAAATAATTTTCTCATTTCATTGTGTAATTTTACAAGTAGCAGTTGATCAATGAAGAAAGGAATTAATATTTGCATTTACTTTATGCAGATTATATGTATATATATTAGTCAAAGATAATACTTATTAAAAGTACATGTCACATTACATAATGCAAAACCTAAACAGCTGTTAGCTCCTGCTGTCTGAAATAATTGTACCATATATGTCTAGCTGCAAAGAAATTAACTCGTACAGAAATTATGACTGTATAAGAATTCTTGCAGAAATATTTATGTAACTTATGGTAAACAAGAAAATTACTACATTATATTGCAATTATGTTACATTCATTACAGGTATTTGCAATTTCAATGAATGCAATTTTTCAAGTGTTTATAATACATACTGAAACAAATCGTTTATGATTTGTATAAGCAGACAATTACGTAAAAATTAAGTCGTCATAATTTTTAAATGTTTGATATACATATATAACCAACATTCTTAAAGTTAGCTAACGTTACTATCAGCAAAATAAGACGCAAAAGTATTGTTTATACAGTCAGAAATCACATCGCGGAAGTGATAAATTTATCATAATAATTAGTGAATACTAAATAATGCAAGACCGAGTGCTAATGTGTACGACGATCTAAATTTAATGCAGGTGACGGGAAAAATCGGTTTTGGAAAGCATGATTCATCCATCTAATTCTTCATGCTGGCTTCTGCCTAACGTATGAAAAGCGGGAAGTGTCTCTTCGCGAGAATCAAATCGACTGTTGCGCGATTTGAATAAAGAGAAATTCGATCGGTCGAAACAAAGCATCTTCGCATTGTCTCTCGCATCTCTTACATCTAATAGGAATGAGTTGGTTGGTAATTGATATCGTTGGTTGTCGATAAATCGAGCGTAGAAATTCTTCCTGCCTCGCACCTAACCCAGACCCATGTGCGAAAAGCATGAAAGTCACATGGGGGTGGTGTCACGACGTTGTATCGTTTCGAGCGTGCCGTCCGAAATTTTGTAGATCGATACGATTACTTTTTTCGATCGCGAAACAATTTCACAGCTTCAGTTCATCATGTCGAGAAAGAAAATCAGGATAATTTACAATGTAACAGGTGACATAGGACGAAATAAATCTTCGACGCTTGATGAGTCATTCCAAGAGAACACTGATAATTTAATAAAGAATTCGGCGCGTGGTGAAACGGAGAGTCGACTCTTTCGATCGACAACTGACCGTGAGGATATCTCATCATAACGATTTTCATCAGAGAGTAAACAATAGAAACGAAATGTAAAATCAAAATAGCCCTCTCTTACCGGATTTTCGTCTCCTGCCTCCTTTGCCTGGCATCGTTCTTCACTTTCCTTATTGCACAATTGATACTAACGAAAATACTTAATCAAGAGGGTAAATGTCTTGCACTATTAATTTTCTTTCGTATACTGAACACGCTGCATGAATTTTTAATTAAAATCTGGTAAAAACTCATTAACATGTTGCGAATCGTTCAAAACATACACGTCGAGACAGCCTACGATGGGCTTTCTCAAAGTGCACTGTCTTTCACGAGCTGCGAACCTACCCGAACATAGACGAAAGTGCACGAATATTCTGAGCGCACATGCGTCGCGTTTCCGTGAACGTCACGTGCTCGCCAATAGACGGGTCGATTTAGTGATCCAAGAGGACACAACCAATCAGCTTGTACTAGTTGAGCTACCACGCATGCGTCGTGCCCGTTCTCGTCAGTTTCAGTGGAAAATATTCTCGAATCGTTTGAGCGTTTCGCGCGCAATGCATAGAACGTACTGCAACATCTTTTAAGGAATTTTTATACAAAGTTTCGAATGGCATTTAGTCGAGTATGTGCATGCATTTGATGTAGATGGAAAAGATTTATTTTATAAAAGTGTCATAGCGCATCGTTAATGTCGAAGAACATCACCGTGATCTATGAAAGTTATTAGGATATAAGGTATGAACATTGAATATTATTATTACTTGTGCCATTGTAAAGAGATCTATATCATAAAATAACGAAGGTCGAGTATTATTTTATATTTTTAGATATAAAAACACGCTTTACAATGATACATTTTCATTGCAACAATAACATATGAATATATACAACGAAGGAATGAATATACATATTTATACATTTAACCTTAAATATAAAAAAAAAGATACAATAGCTATACTAAAATAAATTAGAGGTACATAAAATGATTACAATTGTGTGTCTTATTATTGCATATAATTCACAGTACTTATATATACAAGTTGGTATGAATTTACTCAATTACATTACTATAGTACAAAATTGAATATATTCCAAGTGTAGCAAAAGTGAAGATAGATCTAGATTCTACTATAGTTATAATTTATATTTAGCTTTTGTCTGCATTTGTCTGCATTCAGATGGACACTTATAAATATGTCAGTCTATTCTGAAGCACCAGAATCGTTAGAACAGTACAAATTTTGTTTGTTTTAATTACATTGGAACTAATGCAGTGAAAACGATTCTTAAAGATAAAAAAAATTTTTATTATATATATATATATATATATATATTGGAATGTTACTTTTACTTTCAAAAGTATCACATATTATGCTTCATTAGAAACCTAAGATGGTTTTAAGAAATGAAATTCATATTTGTAGAAAAAAATCTTTACCTTTCAAGTTGTGTTTCTTTGTACATAAAGTCTGTCGGAATTAATTTTATAGAAGTCTTAATGGAAAAAATACTATGCTTATTACAATTAGTAAATTAACCGTTAAGTTAGAAGCAGTAGCATTTTGTACAGTTATCAAGTTCTGACATGGTGTTACTCTTCGAATAAAATTGAATATAGAATCTACAATATTTGCTGGTGTTGGATCTGAGCATTTTTCCAATTCCTTTACAACACAAGTTTGGAGTTTTGACATGTCTCTGCAAATATACAAAAAAAAAATGTAATTTATAGTTTTTAGTTTTTTTTATGGTTCATTTATTATATATATTGATCCTTACGTGCATTCTTTATTTCCAAGAACAAGGAATGGAAGGCTATCTATTGTTTTTAGAGATTCACTGTTGGATTCTAACTGGGGCATATAATTTCCTAAAGTAGAATTAATACATTGTAGAGTTTCTTGTTGTTTTGATCGCAAACACTCTGGACCATTAGCAGATATGAAAACTGTAAGCAAAATGTTTTTTAATAATGGTTAAAGATTACCTATATTAAATGATCCAGAATCTATACATACGGGCAATACGATCTCCTTCTTTGTAACACACAAAATTTAAGAGAGAATTTGTGATATTTTGAATGATTTCTTTATTTTCTCGTTCCTTTGCTTCCAAGCAAGGCTCTAGCCCCGTAGTGAAGTTTCTGACACATTGCTTCAGAATGGGAGTTTTTTGGCAGTAATTTTTGAACACTATATCCAAATCTCCAGTAGGTTTGTATTTTTCCATTTCTATCTCCAGTTTTGTGAAATTAACAAATGATGTAAGGCACTGTTCTAGTTTGACGGTTGCATTCATAGCATTTTCGTATGCATCCTCTCCTCCATATTTCTCGCATTTCTGCTTGATAACACTCGTAGTTTCCTCAAACATTTGTACCATAGATGTTTTGTTACTCACATCCGAAAGTATGTTAGATACATTTAGGCTGTTCAAATCAATGACACCAGAAACTTTGTTTAATACTTCTTCTGCGTTAGGCATATTCTCTTGAGAGATTGTATGTCCAAGAAAGCCTGTGATGAAAAATAATTCATCGTTAATATATTAATTTATATAAAAAGAGCAATTTTCTTTCTTCCTTATCTTTTGTAAATAATTTTAGAGTTCAAATGTTTTTTAGAAATTGCAGTATTCTATAAGTAGTAAATTTTCAATAATTCTTAGCTCAAATATTCAAGAGTTAACTCAATAAAAACTTTAACTAGATTAAAAAGTATTTGTTACTATTTGTAGAGTTAATGTCTTAGCTCAAATATTCAAGAGTTAACTCAATAAAAACTTTAACTAGATTAAAAAGTATTTGTTACTATTTGTAGAGTTAATGTCTCAAAAATTTTAATATTAAAGTTAAATTATATTTTATATTTTATATTTTAAATTTTTTTTTATTTTTTAAATTTTAATATTAAATTTAAATTTTAATATTAAACGCCGAAGTATTTCCTGTTTGGAAAGGAAGTAAACACGTCATCTCGAACGGACTTTGTATTGGTTGCCTTGATTTCTAACTACAAACTGTCTATTTTTCACTTGCATAATCTCCAAGAGTTATTAAATTATTTTTTTTTTCACTTGATGTTATGCTGATAACAATCAAAACTAGTTTCAATTTATTCTTCTTGTTTTACGCGTATACATACATATGTATAGGTTATGATAAAGCAGAATTTCATGTAAAATCTGAATAAGTAGGATATGTATGTAACGTTTTATTAATAATAATAGACACGTTTTTTCTGCATTTTGTGCATGCTCTCTTTGTAAAAAATTGAAGTAGATTCATAGAGTACAAAGTGCACGAGCTGAATCAATGTGCAATCTGTACGTTCATCGCACGTGTGCAACAATAAGTATTTGTCCAATACAAAGAGAGAGTAATACAGTCTAGTTTCACCTTATATCAATAATTAATTACGATAATCATTATATGATTTCTATAAATATTTATACAAAGAACTTTACCTATGCTCTTACGGAGAGAATATATAATGTCGATAAATTGAATATTCAGTATGCGGTAATTACATTTAATTTTAATGACTATTATCGATTGCGAGATCATAAGTTGTTATCGTTTCTTGATCGTAAAATCGAACGCGAGGTTCGAGATCCACTGTTCCCCATGGTCGATACGGAACAATGACCACTGGTACTTTTGAATAATATACAACGGGGAACTAACTACGTTTTCGATTAGAGTTACCAACTTCAGTATGTTCGTTGATGAAACAACGCTTCATATTAAATGTCATATTTATATAAAAAAAAAAATTAATCAATGATAAATATGATTTTGCATATACAATCTTGCTAAGTCAATTTCTTTCTTCTGTCTCTGTCAACTGTATACGCGAGTCTTTTATTTTTGTAAGATATCGCAGGTCATGAATCATCGGAACAAATTCTGTCAACGGAAAAAAAAGAAAAAAGAAAGAATACAGAAGATGCGGAAAACGATCTAGTCATTTCCCGCTAATAAGTAGTCATTAGTATTCCTTGTAACAACTTACCACAAAGGAATATCACAATAATTGGCGTGGTACAATATTTGGTCATCTCTATTTTGTTGCTGAAAAATATGTTCGATCAAGAATTGTGTGGAGATGTTTGCCAACGTCGAAACAGCCTATCAATTCACCGTGAAAAAGAAGAATATGTATGCGATGAGGTAGGAATACAGGTTCAGTTATGCATCGATATGGGTGTCACTGTAGTGCCTCGTCGGGCACATTCGAGGTGTTCTGTTTGTTGTGAAAAACGTGCACCGATGCCCGTCAACGTTGCCCGGAATATTAGTGAAGGGAAGAGAACGAAACACAGCAATTTAGAAAGCGGGGAACAGAGATACACTGTACTGACTCGCAAGACTGATATTCCGATACTGAGCTGTTGGGCGCACGCGCTCCGCTTATATAAACCTCATACTCTCTGCTTCTGCGTTAATTTTAATCCAATTTTACGTATATCGTATAATGTAATTCTAGTTATCTTGCATAATTTTTATTGATTTAGAAACAAACAAAAATAAAATATACCAAGCAAATAATTGTATCTGTGTAATTCAATAGTAGTTGAACGTTCTACGCAAAAAGTTGCGACATTTCAATTGACTTTTAATAATATAAAATTTAAGGAATTTTTAGAATAGTTCAGAATAATTTTAGAAAATATGAAAAATGTTTCGGCATATGATATTTCTTTATTTGATAATCTATTTATGACGAATTTTATAAAAAATTGGATATCAAAAAACCTTGGTAGTGATTAATATCCCCTTTAATCTGGTACTTAAATTTATTTATTCGTCGCTTTTCTTCGTTATATCTGTTGCACATTTATATATCATTTTGTAAGTTTGCCACAGTGTGAACAAATGTTCTGTAAAAAAAAAGTATGTAGTTAGTATTCCCGTCTGTCGCGCGGGAGATCGGGGTTCGATTCTCCGCTGAGGAGATTTCATTTTTGCAGAATTTTCAAATAACTTTCGCGTTTGTTCTTTTCTTTTTCCATACGATCATAAAAGATTTTAGTGGAATTTTCAAAGCATATATACTTCTATTAGCCTTTATAATATAACGAGATCCTAAATTAAAGCATCAAATAACGGCGCTGATTGATGCAATGACAATCAGGGTCGCATGCGACAGCCTGTCTTTTTCAATAGGGACTATACCAATGTCCACACAATTTTCAGTTATACTTATTAGGTCCTTATCTTCTTGGAGCCATAAAAAAGGGACAATGTTGCATTTAAAACCTAACCGATAATGCAAGTCACATTCAGGTATATAATAAAGAAATAAAATCCAGACCCCATACGAATTATTAGGATTTATTTAAGGACGTGGTAGAATGTTTGATTATAAAAAATATCAGAATAATTTATGCACAGTTAAAAATCAAGCAATTTCAGCATTTCTTGCAGGTAAAAATGTGTTCAGGATTGTAGTTGATCAGTCAAATAGAAAAAAAATACTTTGATGAAAAGTAAAGAAGTAAATTGGCAGGAAATATTTTATGATAATCTTTTTAATGTAACAGGCAGGAAAAAACAGAATCAGTGAATGACAAAATAAGTTCAATGTGCCTTCTTCCCACACTACTTCTAACTATTTATACAAAGAGTATGTGAGATTTGGGCTACATTTCTAATTGTAAGAGATTACACGTAAACGACATGGACCACTTGAGCGACCCTGCTTGAGCTTTATCTTCTCAGGTTTCTGTCCATTTATTCATTGGAGTAACTTGGATATGACACTTGATCTGTTTTGTTAGGCTGTACATATCTATGAAATCTGATACAAATAATAATACAAAAACGAGAGAGATTGTATTCATATATATAATATGGATAAAAAGGAAAAATTTAGAGAGCAACATATGTATATAATAAATTTCTTTTAGTCTACCAATAAGATACAATTTGTAATTATCCAACTGTTGGTTGTATAGTGATCAACATTCCCAAACAATTACTGGCGATTACAATATCTTCCATCTCTAATGGAATTGTAAGTATAAGATCAATTGTAACATCTAGCATACAAAACAGTCATGAACTTCTCAACAATATAATGGTCAGTATTGACATCCTACAATAAACTGAAATTAACATTCAAGAAACTAAACAATAGAAGATCATGTATTACATATCAAACATAATCTTAAAAGACTTACTATCTACTACTAGACTATTATTCAACTGCCTAATCTCTGTAATGTGGAAAATGGCAAAACTAATAATTATTAAAGAAAAAATGACTTGGTCAATTACCAGTCGATCAATCTGATAATATTAGCAAAATATTCATAGTAATCATCAAACGATATAATAAACACTTTTTATTCAGAAAACATCCCGGAACACAATTCAGATTCAGATTCAAACATTAACGCAATAACAATATTCTCATCTGATATACATACGTTGAACAAGAAACAAACACGATTCTGTTGGGGCGAATCTGTTTTGTTCGTTGACCTTGAAAAAGTCTTCAATATAATCTGGCTGATCGGATTCTTCTTCAAAATGATAAAAAAAATTTTTTTAATCTATCTGGTTAAAATAACATGGCATGTAACAAACAATTCTAAGCAAAAGCTAAAACATTTTCAGGTCATACAAAATTAAAAATGGTTTACAACAGTGCACCGTCTATTTAGTTTATATCAGTGGTCTAAATAGCGACAGGAATGCACCAGTAGCTTTTGCAGATGATCTATTAATATGTGCAAAAGACCTTCAAAAGTCAAAACAGATCTAAAAACTATTTAACAAGGATTGCCTTCATACGTAGAAATTAAAAATAAATAAAAAAATGTGAAACAATACTTTTCAGCTTATACATATCTAACACACGAAAAAATTCGGCAATAAGAAAAAAATGCTAAAAAATTCCACATATATGATAATGATGATTCCAATAACGAAATCCGCCATGAAGAAGTTGTTTATTATTTAAGCGTGCATTTGAATTTTAAAGTAAATCACAATACATCAAAGCACAAATAGAAACAGCGCAAAGGCATTCATTACGAGTAAATATATCTTCTACTCAAAAGACTTCAACAACAATATAATTTTGTGCTACAAACTTTTAATTAACATACGATTGCACCATGAATCAACATCAGTGCTAGCACCATGAAGAAGATGCGCTCATCGAACGACAATGCTTCAAAGCTAACAGATATAGGACAGTGTCAAATTACACGAAAGGAACCGCCCATATAAAGAAGCTAAAATAACACGGACAGATTTATTCAAACTAATAAAAAATCATTGGGTAAACATACTGAACATCTGCTCCAACAGCCTAATCTACCACTTGATCTATCTCAACTCACAGTTTAGAAAAAGATAAGACAGGATACACACCTCCAGAATCATTTATATACCTAGATAGCATATTGCTTATCGAGAACAGCAACAACCAACCAATTATTTACCATAACAGAAAAAACTGCGTCATATATCATATAATGATAACTTATCCTTCAACGACTGTGGAATCCGCTTTAAATGCTAACAAGCTGACACAAAAGATAAACATAAAAATAACGTCAAAAAATAGTAGTGACTATGATAAAAAAATAATTAAAATTCAAATGAAACTGAAACTACTTATCTAGTCATTGAATAAATTAGAAGCAACTATCGTCCTCTCCTCGATAGTATAGTGGTTAGTATCCCCGCCTGTCACGCGGGAGACCGGGG